AGATACGACCCGTGGACTATCTAGTCCGATAATTCTGTTGCTAAATCAATCTCATAAATTGGGACACTATTGAATTTGGTAAATCCAATTAAAACATTCTCATAAGATATTTAGATGGTTCCTCGTATTTCGTTATATATGATCCAAAAGCAAGTAAGCAAACCTTATAAATCTATAAATATATTATAATCCAATTTTTCTGCGGAGATATGGAGAGATGGGACTTTTAAGAATTCCACTTCTGGTCCCTGCCAAGTCTGCTTTAGCTTGCTTTGCCCAATGAGAAATCTCGTCGACCACTTTAAACAGCTCAGTTTGAAGATCTTCTATTATCACATACATAATTACTTAAACTGTGCCGCACCACAGCCTTGTGCTGAGGTATTTCAATTCCATTCTTTACATCACATCAGTTGTCATGAATCCTTCGATAATAATCAAATCCTGATTTCGAAAACTTCGTCTTAATGTTTATATCACAACTCTTTCGTTTTTTCCCAACTTTTTAATATCCAACATTCATCTCACTGTCGTTCTCGCGCTTCGAATTCGTTGTGACACGCAGCATACATCGAGTGAATCATTTAGGCAGTATACTGGCCCCACCTTCAACAAGTATTCCTTCTGTTTTCTTGGCTACTACATATAATCTCGCTTTTATTCAAGGTCGGAAAAGTTACTACAATCATATCGCACATCATGGCCGATGTTGAAGAGCCACAGTTTACCACCCTCGCGCAACGTATTGCTGCATTGAAGCAACAACAAGCGGGGGACTCTGCCCCTCCAAACAATAGTTTGATAGTAGCCAAACGACCTCCACCACCTCCTATTCCAAGTTCCGATAGACCTCCTCTTCCTACAAGACCAAAGACTGCCAACAATCCTCCAATTGTCACATATGGTTCTTCTGTTAGCCAGAAACCATTCAATGAGCCTCTTGGCACAAAAGCCAACTCGAATCCAGTCAATGGCAATGCCCCAGTTAATAATTCCAAGAGTCCTGCTCTCCCAGCTCGAAATGCACCTCCTCCATTACCCACGAGAAAAGCCTCGACTCCAAATCTGCCACCAAGAAGAGCATCTACTTCTACACAATTGGCAAGGAGAGATTCGGGGGACTCGACCATTTCACAAATGTCTACGGTCTCGGCCATGTCATTGAATAGTTATGGCAGACCTGCATCTTCAATCACATCTATAGGATCAAAAGATGGAAGAATGCTACCTCCTCCCTTGGATATGGCAAAACTTCCACCTCTACCACCTTCAAGAAGAGAGTTACAAGAGAAGGCAAGGTTAGAGCAGAAGGCTAAATTCCCTCTCGTTTCTGTAAGTATTTCTAGTACTATTTCTAGTCTCGGTTTTGGGCGGGCGATCTCATCATCAAAATTTGTTCGATTTCAGGTTGGACGTAGAATTCCAGGCATATTCATCTCAACTTTCCTCCTAGCTCCAAACCCCTTTATAATTACAAATTTAACACTTTTAAAAAACAGACCAAGTCAGCTCCAGTTATTCTCAAACAACCTCCAGTCGTTGAACGTGAATTGCCACCCAAACTGCCATCAAGATCAAATGGCCCACCTAAAATGCCTCCTAGACCCATTGCAAATGTAGAAGATGAGAATTCAGTCTCTCTACCACCGCGAAGATTACCGCCTCCATCCCATACTCGTTCTGTTCTATCACTAGGATTTGGTAACAAATCTACCGAAACACCAAACCCATCACCAGGACCAACACCTACATACAATAGGCCTCCCGGTCCTGCTGTTCAAGAATTGAATGCCAATAATTTTGATCGTATTATTCTCTCCGGAAAATTTGCTCTTGTGGACTTTTATGCTCCATATTGCAAGTATTGTGTCGAATTGGATCCACATTATAAACAGCTTGCCGAGGATTTTGCATTTGCTTCTGACAGAATTGTGATTGCAAAAGTTGATGTTGATGCACATAAATCTTTCTTGGCAAGATATGGTATTGAAGGATATCCGACCATCATGTTCTTTGACGGAAGTGGAGATGATCCGGAAAAGTACCAATATATGAGAGAAACGGACGCCATGACAAAGTTCTTGACTGAGAAGACTGGAATATCACCATCTGATGCACCAAAACCTGGGGGAGGAGCACCACCACCTGTTAACCTTCGATCCAAGCCAACGTCGGCTCAAGTAAAAGCTGTAAGTGTTGCTCCAACTACATTATCTTCTCCATCACAGGGCTGCCTTTTATGTCGAGACTTTTCTGGTCCGGATCAAATTGCATCAAAATATTCAAGGGAATTCCTTCCAAGGTCCCCTGATAATACAGGATATCTTGCTGATGTTCTTTGTCGTCCTTTCAGCTCGCCCACTGATAAAGCTCGTGCTATCTTCGTTTGGCTTCATCATAACATCGCTTATGACACTGGAGCTTTTTTCGGGAACCGAGTCAAAAATGTTACACCTGCCGATACTATTAAAACTGGATTAGCTGTCTGTGGTGGATATGCTGGTCTTTTCACGGCTATTGCACTTAAAGCAGGACTCGAAGCTATCATGGTAACTGGTCACGGAAAAGGGTTTGGTTATACACCTCTTAAACCAGGAGAATCGTGTCCACCACCTAATCCTGGTGGTCATGCCTGGAATGCAGTACGTATCGATGGAGGGGAATGGAAGCTAATTGATCCTTGTTGGGGTTCCGGGCAATTAGGAGAGAATCAAATGTACAACAAAAATTTGATCTCATCCTACTTCACCATGTCGAATGAAGAATTTGGCCTCAAGCATTTTCCAGCCAATAAGTCACATTTCTTTAGGAAAGATAGAAGAGTTTTAACGTGGGAAGAATATTTCATTGGAAATATTGGTGGTGAACCATTACAGATTTTCGGTTCTGTAGAAGATTGTCATGGTATCTCACAAGCTTCAATTACTCCACCTCAAAAATACATACAAGCCTCACCCACATCCAACGATATGATGCGATTTCAATTCTCAAAAGTCTGTGAACATTTTGACTTTGAACGAAATGGTCTCGGTAAACCTTATTGTCTAGTTTTGAAGATAGGAGGAGTGGATGGAAGAAATGATGACATGGTACCATTTGATTTTGACGGGTTTTGGTGGTGGGTAGATGTGGGAGTTGGGGAATTGGGAGTGAGAGGTCAGACGATTAGTTTGTATGCGGTTACGGTGGTTGATGGAGAGGATGCGAGGGGAATGACGAAGAGAGATTATGAGGGGAAGAAGGGGAAGTGTGCGATGGCATTCGCGGGGGTTGCGGCGTGGGAGTTGAATTGAATTGATTTTGTTGAGGTGGGTAGGGATAGGGATAGGGATAGGGATAGGGATAGGGATAGGTTATATAATGAGCAGGTGAACTGGACTGGTAAGCTTTGGATAAGTTTACTTATTAGCGATTATTATCTTTTGTTTTTTTTCTTCTTCTTCTTCTTCTTCTTCTTCTTCTTCTTCTTCTTCTTCATTCGGCTCAGCTTGGCCAGCTGGACTTGGGTCGTGGCGTTATGGGATCGGGCATGGAAAGGTATACATACATAGGTACATCCATCCATACACATGATGGACCAATCGAGATAGATTACAGCATTCTCTGTACTTGTCAATCTTAGAATTCTGCAGATACCCAATGCAGCGTAGCGTGGTGCGCGAATATATATATATATATATATAGGTGTATAGGTGTATAGGTGTATAGGTGTATAGGTGTATATATATTGTTCCAGGTCTTGATATTGTTTATATTGAGAATTTTAAAATTTATAATTGATTGATAGATATATTTCTTTTATATTGTAAGATTATATATGTTTTAAAGTTAGTTCTTTTATTAGTTATTTATGTACTCGCTCGGACGGATTCTTCGCTCGGATTCTTCGCTCGGATTCTTCACTCGGATTCTTCTATGTGACGCTGGATATGTATTAAATGGGACTGGGGGGAAGGGGAGGGGAGGGTTGTTTTGCATGGAGTGTATGGAGTATGTGTATGGAGTGTATGAAGTGTAGATAGCCTGATCCGATTGTAAGATTAAGATTAAGATTATATAGGTAGGTATGTAAATGTAAATGTAAATGTAAATGCAATCTTTGGAAATAAATGTATGGATGTATATATTTGTGCGCTTTTGTGGTGTCTGGTTTGTGATGTGGGATGGGGGATGAGGGATGTTGTGATCTGATTTGAGAGCTGTGATTTGTGATGTCTGATTTGTGGTGTCTGATTTGTGGTGTCTGATTTGTGGTGTCTGGTTTGAGAGCTGTGATTTGAGAGCTGTGATTTGTGATGTCTGATTTGTGATGTCTGGTTTGTGGTGTCTGGTTTGAGATGTGGGATGGGGGATGTGGGATCTGTAATGTTGTGTAACAGCAAGCTTGGATAGATGGGATGTTTTGGTGGGTTTTATGGGGATGGGATGGGATGGGATGGGATGGGATGGGATGGGTTGAGGGGGGAGAAGAGAAGGGGAAGAGAAGGAAACTTGGAAAATCTGGATTGGATGTGGGTTGGATGTGGGTGTGAGGGGAGAGTGAGGGGGGAGACATATGATGGAATGGGATTGGATAGTAATTGGATGATAATTGGATGATATATAGCATAAGCGAAATCAAGAAGCAGATCCGGTGAGGGGTAGAAGCGGAGTAAGGTCTACAAGAAGAGGGAAAAATTGTATATATATATATAATGTGCTGAGTGGTGCTTCTGGTTCTACTTGCTATGAATATCTAGATATTAACTCTTCTGATTTTGGAATTTTGTGAGATACGATTTGTGAGATATTTGAAAGTAAGTTGGTGAGTTGGTGAGATTTATAGTTTGTTTTAGTGTTGGTGATATTGTTATTGTTATTCTTATTTGTTTTTCTAGATATATCGAATTGAATCAATATCCAGAACATATTAATATCCCGAACAAATCAATATCCCGAACAAATCAACATCCCGAACGAAACAAGAACAAGAACAAAACGAAACAAAAATACCAAGGAAAATGAAACCATCATCATCATCAGCATCATCTATTCTTCTCATCGCAGTCTTCGCGGGAATAACAACTGCAGGACCGGTTGCATACGGAGTTTGTCAGAGTGGGTGTGCGGCGGTGGTGATGGCTTGTTATGGGGCGGGGGGAGCGACGGTATGAATTTTTTTATCTTTTCTTGTTTTTTTGATCTGAGGTTGTGAATATGATTTAGATGGAGATGGAGATGGGGATGTGATTCAGATGTTTAACATAGGTATTTAATATATATACACATGCTAATGTGAGAACATAAACACAGTGGGGAGCGACGGCGGCAGCGACGGCGGCAGCGACGGCGGCAGCGACGGCGGCAGCGACGGCACCGGCGACTATCGTGGCGTGTAATACGGCGTTTGGGGTTTGCAGCGCGAAGTGTGCGGTGTTGTTGGCGGCGCCTATTCCTTGAGTTTTGGGGGAGGGTGGGGAGGGAGGGGAAGGAGGGGAAGGAGGGGAAGGAGGGAGGGAGGAGGGAGATGGAGTTGATGGAGGGGAAAATATAAATGCGAGATTGTGGTGATAAGCTTATGTTATGGAGACCTCTCTATTTATGGTGTTTCACTTATGATAGGTACTACGTACTTACTTGCAATTGGGGATTTCTGAGGATTAATTGTGTATACGAGTGGGATTTGGGAAGGGTCGAGATTTGATTCTGAGGATATTAAGTTTTGGAGTTTTGGGAACGTGATGGTGATGGTGATGGTAATAATGATGGAAATGGAGATTGAGATTGATATTGGGATGTACAGGTTTTCTGTTATTTACTTGAGTAATCATGATTGATGATTGATGATTGATACTTTTGAGATACTTGACGCCGATGTTACGTGATTGTCCACTGACTGAGTAAGTTATGTGTGTTTTGTTCGCTTGAGTATTAGGGGGTATGAATGAAAAGCATTCGGAAGTGAGGGTTCGGATCTCCATGCAGGGGATAGAGTTTTCTTCATTCTTTATTCCTGTGATTCTCTCTTCTTTGACTTTGCTCATGGCGATTTTTGGATGATGTTACGGAGCTTTGGTGTCTGGTCTTGTATGTTCTCTCGCTTTAATAGTTGATAAATTTCACGTTGCATACCGATGGAGAGTGTGGTGGAAGGTAAGGTATATGATCAAATGACTAATTTGTAAGAGTTGTCAGACTTTTGAGGGCTTGAGGTTGGCGATTTTTGAATAATAGAAGATGAGAAATAGATTTTTCGATATTCTGGGACGGTAGCTCATATGATTGCCTAGGTAGAGGTGCTCAAAGTTACAGACGAAGTTCCCGATCATTTGGACCGTATTTTAAAAATCAAGGGCTTGCCCCCTTGATGATAGGTATGGATGTGAAGTTTGATGAAGGGAGGGATATGAGGATTGGAATGAGGTATGAAGATTGGATACTGGATACTGGATACTGGATACTGGATACTGGATACTGGAGTTTGGAGTTTGAAGTTTGAAGTTTGATGAAAGGGAGGGATATTTTGTTGATGATTTCGAAGAGAGAGTCTCTATCTGAGCGAAAAAACAAACGGAAATTGAGTATCCTTTCAAAGGACTTTTTTAATAGATTATAAATTCGTTTCAAATTAAATATTAAAATTTGAGTATTTTCTATATTGAAATTAAATGTTTTGATTATTTAATATTATATTAAAAATGTAACGATCCTATCATATTAGTGGATCGGCTAGGTCCTCACGTAATTCACAATCCTGTATATTACCACTTCCTTCTGAAGAGCTCTTCTAGCTCTTTACCTTAGTATTCTAAATAATGCAATTGTTATATTATATTAAGGTTATATAAATTTTTTAAGCTCTTAATTGCTTCTACAAAGTTTCCTATCGCTAGCCTGCTTGCCGAATACCTATTGCCTTCTATACCTGCTCCTTCAATATGATTATTCGTATAATCTTCGATCAAGATCTCTCCTTAGCTTTATTTCTATGGATCTCATTTATTGATGAGCTGATACTTTATTATTATATTATTTAGAGTCTCCTTACTCTATCAATAATGAATTCAAAGATCCTGAATCTAATATACAAATTACAGAAACTGATTGATTCAAAGCATTAATATATTTGTACAATCGATATTACAATGAAGCAGCTTATTCAGTTGATCTGCCAGATCAATCCGCATTCCACCAACACTTCCATTACTCCATTAGCACTACTAATAAGAAATGCATTTTAAGCAGATCTCCTCTCTTTTATTTATTTTATTTTTCAATAACTCTCGAAACCTTTTCTTATTGATTTCGAAACCTCTCTTACAAAAGCAATAAAACCGCAAAACGTATATTTCCGCAAAGTGATCAACAATGCTATGAATTATATTATAGATAATATTGAAACTAATATTAGAACTATAAATTAGATATTAATAGTAATAGAGAATATAGATTATAATATAGTTAGATTGAAGAACCATATTTAGAATACTATTAGTACACTTGAGGGCAAGCTTTTTAGAAAGGGGGGGTAGTATAACGATCCTATTATATTAATGGATCGGCTAGGTCCTCACGTGATCCACAATCCTATATATTACCACTTCCTTCCGAAGAGCTCTTCTAGCTCTTCACCTTAGTATTCTAAATGATGCAATTGTCACAAAAAAGAGATTTTATTTATTAAGGTTCTTTTAAGAGTATGTTCGAATCGATTTATTTCGACTTATTTCAATTATTAAATCTAAATTATTTAGTAAATAAGCTCAAATAATAGATTTATCGAGTACTCAAGATTATGAAATAAATTATTAAAATTTATTTAATAAATAAATATGTTTATTAAATGCTCGAGATTATGAAATAAATTCTAATAATTTATTTGTTATGTCACGGGATCACCTCTGGGAGTATTCAGAAGCTTTACCGCTGAGCTAAACGCCCAAAAGACTAGGAGGTAGAACTGGAAGTTCTACCTTACTCTCACATATATAGCAGGACAGGACAGGACAGAAAGGGCTTAGTGTCACCCCGTGACATGTTAAATAATTCTTAAAATTACAAATACTCTCAAAATTCTTATATATTTATCAAATAAATCGCAATACAGCTTTTTGAAGTTATATAAAGATTATTTCAATAAATCTTTAACAAATCTTTATTTTCATCTGCTCCTATTATGTTTTATCTACTTCTACTACTTTTCAATATTATTGAAATATGTTTTAATATCATACAAATATATTATTAGTCTGAATTCTCTTACTATTTTAACATTATTAGAGATTTCATTAGATGAATGAAAAATCGATTCGAACGCATCCTAAATAATGATCAATTTCTGCTTGTTATTTTGCTAATGTAGAGAGAGTATTTCATTCTCTTTTTAAATCCCGTGACATCGCTCCCCGCAATTCGCTGGTAAGCAGGGCAAATCCCTACAATATTAACCCCGCATTTACTAGCAATCATTATCTCAGCCTTGTAGTACATATGAACGAAAAGTACCTACTAGGTAGGTATCGTTTGATCCTACCTATCAAAAACATCGACACGGAATCTCATCTAATGCGAGAAAGAATTTTTCACAACAGGAATTAATTGTGAAGCGGATCTCTGATAGGGTGTTTGGAAAATAGATTTATTTAAAACCATATCGCATATCGAATATTGATACGGAAGAGAAGATTACAGATAAGGAAGGATAGGGATAAGGAAAGAGATTCTTGAAGGGTTGATATTGCGACTACGACTACGACTACGACTACGACTACGACTACGACTGCGACTGCGACTGGCAAGATTCAACCTTCTCTCTCTTGATGAGATCTATCCACTCTCCTTGAATTGAAACATCGATAACCTCTTCGGAATCGCAGAGAAAATGTCGGAGGAGGTGCAAAATGTTGGTATTCTTCGTCTGCCTTCAGAGGTTCAATCAGGAATCTTGGTGCATGTAAGTCCTTCAATTTATTTTCTACTTTGAATGCTTGACAGTCATATGCATGCCTGATACATTTCAATGTGCGATCATCGATGCGACGATGCTAACACTTATATCCTAGTTGGACATCCCAGAGTTGCTTCAGTTGTCCGTCGTCTCAAAGCATTTCCGCGACCTAGCCGCCGAAGAGCTATATCGAACCTTTCATATTGTTTTCCCAGATCTCGATGAAGAAGAGGAATCAAAAATCGATAGCCTTGCATCCGGGCTGGACACATTCGTTACGAGCGATTATGATTATTCGAAATATCTGAGACATATTATTCTGGAACCTTTGAATGGGAGTTTGAAGGGGCAATTCGCATATCGTTCTTATCTTTATGATACTAGCTGTGGGAAATTCATGAATACCCTCTTATTATTGACTTTACGGAAAGCTAAAGCTCTTGAGGCATTCAAGTAGGTTGATTGTTTTATCCTCTTGATAACAATGTGCACTTGCTAATGTATGAATCTTAGATGGGACCTTCGTGTGCAGTTGAGTGGGCAGGTCTTTAAAGAATTACATCGTATAAGCTCTCTACAACATTTACATGTTCGAATGCCAGCTGTACAGCCCTCCGTCACCAATGCGAATCCATCTTTGACCTACAACGTTTCAACGCCGATTGTCATTCCAGCTTTTCAAAACACCCAGACTGACTCTGCAGTTTACGATATTACAACCCATCCATATTCATCTTTTACGGCGAATAAATCTAAACATAATGGCGGAAAAGGACATACTCCAATTGTCAATGGAAAATCTCCAATATTTTCAGGCTTCAAAAACTTGCAAAGTCTGGCAATTCTTGATATGGATAACTTGGATGATCTATCTGAAATTGGAGAATGTTTACGGAACTCATCAACAACTCTTAATTCCCTCAAGTTATCATTCTCGGAGGTCTTTGCGTCTAGATCTAAAAAACCACCCGTGTCAGCTCCTGTCGAAGATGACGATGAAACTGAAACCGAAGATGAGTTTGGTCAATTGACATCAGTTCCTAATCCATTTTTGCTTACACCTGATCCATTGAAAGGAACTACGGTCACAGAGGAAAAGAAAGCACAGGAAGCTGCGTTGGGAAAGATCTTTAGTATCGATTCCAATTCAAAAGGCAATACGGAAACGTGTCAGAAGGAAGACGATTCAGAGATTGAAGCGGAGGGAAACAAGAAAAATTCTGCTTCCTTGGCTGCCTTTGTAAAATTGATGCAAAAATCGGCGAAACTCATTGCTGAAATCGCAACTTCCGACGCGGAAAGGGAACAATTCGTCGAGAAATTGATTAAGAAGAGTACGCAGGCTTACATTGACGGCTTGAAAAATGGGATTGAATCTTCCGATAAGTCAGAGGCTAGTAATGTGGAAGGCAGCAATGCGGAAAGTAGCAACACACCAGTCATTACTACAAATGAAAATGTTGAAAAGGATGCCAATGTGGAGAGTACTGATTCATCAGCTACAACGACTCCTGGAGAGGAAGAAACTACAGATGATACCGAATCTGATGATCAACCTAGTTTATTTGACGAATCTAGAACGCCAACACAAGCACCTAAATCCAAAGAGATTATAGATCCAGACGACATCGATATAGAGGAACCTGATTCAAAAGAGCTTATGATAGATTCCGAAACTGTTGACGATGTTACTACTGAACCCGAGACGAACTCAGATTTGGGAGATGACTCTACTGAGAAAGTTGAACCACTTCTTAAAGCAGTCGAGACAAGTAGCAACGAAGATGGAAAGGAGATTGAGGCTCCTAGTGTCAATCTCGACAACGAGATGAAAGATTACGTTCGAAAAAGTCGTGGTCTTGCCCTCGAGGATTTGTCACTCTATCAAATACCCATGAAAAATTCTGTCATCTCAAAAGCCATTGACATTAGAGTTTTGAAAAGCATTACTCTACTTAGTGTTGGATCTCAAACAACATTTTGGAATATGGTAGCACGCGAAAATAAAGTCGCTCCACTTCCACTTCATGAAATATACGTCGATACTGTCACCGTACATTTCCTCGAAGCTGCTGGTCAACTTACCAAAATAACCGAACTTTGTTTGCTCGAACGATCTAATAGAACCAAAGTCGATACTGAGTCTAAGATTATAGTCACGATTGAACAAATCAGGAAATTGGTTCTTAGGAAACATGCTCAACATTTAAAGGTTCTGTCGTTGCATCAGGAGGGGATTCCTCATCAACAGAGTCCTTTTGCTTGGGATTTAGATGCTAAGACGGCGATTTTACTTTGTAGGAAGGGGAAGAATTTGGAAGAATTGGCGGCATCGTTTGATGTCAATATTTTGGTACGTTATCTCAGTGCTTTTCTTTTATTGTTCTTATGGTATTTGAATATTCAAATATTCCTTTTTTTTTGTCATTCTAGCAATATCGTTTTGCTGGATCATTTGAATGAATGCTGGATCAGGCAAATTTGTCTAATTGCACATGTCATGCATCGATTCCCATTCTTGCACGTGTCAATCATCCATTTCATTCAACACATCCACACATTCCTTATTTACTAACACTAAATCAGCACATCATCAATCAAAACCTTTCCGCCCTTACATCCCTTCGCGCTCTCCACGCAATTGAATTCCGCTCAGAAGATACATGTTTGTTGGTTCGAAACGAACTCCGAAGATTCACCATGGACAGCGTGGCTCATACCCCAGAGTGTAAATTGGAGTATCTAGCTTTCAAAGGAACCGCGAGCAAGATTGAGAGAATCAAGAAGAAGACCGTTAAGCCTGAGATCCTGAGCTTTGTGGAATTGTATATGCAGAGTGGGAAGGGCACGGGCAGTGATAGTGATAGTGATAGTGAGAGTGAAAGGTTCTTTTCCGGTGTTGATTGCTTGTCCAGAGGTTTGAAGGTGCAGAGTTTGGATGGCTTGAAGTTTCATGATATTCCTGGAGTGAGGATCTTTGAGAAGGATGTTCTTTGGAAGAGACTTTAGGGGATGGGGGATAGGATGGGGAATAGGATGGGGGATAGGGGGGGTGGATGCGGAGTTTGATCTGGTTTGGTCTGGTCTGGTCTGGTGGGTGGGTGGGTTACGCAGGGCGTAAATTGGTGATTAATTAGAATTTTACATGGGGGATTCGTTCATGCTTTCTTTCTTTCTTTCTTCTTTCTATCTTATTTCTTCAGCGCGATATCTCCCGAGCGAAAATAGGAATGGGATATTGAGGGGAGTATCATATCACAGGTGGGGGTATGTATAGCTTAGCTTAGCTTAGCTTAGCTCAGCTCGGTTTTCCATACATAGCAATGGAAATGACGATGAAAATTTATATTTTAATTATGGAGGGAATGAAGTATTCCACAGGGAAAATGAACGACCATTCAAATTCCGATATCATATACTCACTCACTCACTCACACAATTCCATTTATTCATTTATTCACCATTACGATAAACCTCCCCCCTCTCCCCTACAATTTCGCCCTCTCCCTCTCCCTCTCCCCCTCGCCCCCCTCTCTCCCCCTCCTCGCCACCCCCACAAACTTCCAACACAACTCCCCCATCGGCCACCTCGCCCGCGCATGCACCTCGGCCATCGCACTACTCGCCTGCCTCACGGCCCAGCGCGCCGCAATCCCCTGATAAATACACGTATTCCTAAAGAAACCAAACGCGACGCCCCACGACAAATCAGGCTCGGGATCCCAGCCCGCCGTGTCCCGATACCAGGAGAGGAGTTCGGATTGCGCGGGCAGACCGGGGATGTCCTCGTGGCGAAATTGCGGGAGCGAGGCGAATTTTTTTTCATGTCGCACACTGTGTGGGGAGAGGAGGTTGACGAGATCGGAGAGGGGGTGGCCGATGGTGGACATTTCCCAGCTAGAAGGGGGGAGGGGGTGTTAGTTTTGGGTTTTATTTTTGATTTGTTTTGTTTTCACATGCATCGAACATTATACGAAGAGAGGGGGGAAAAATACATACTCCAAAATGCCAATCACCCTCGGTTCCGTCTTGTGAAAAACGAGATTATCAATTTTATAATCGCCATGCACCAAAGTTCCTCGATCTTGTGGCTGATATTTCTTGTCTCTAAAAAATCCCAAGATCTCGTCAATATGCGGTATCTGACCCACGGGTTTCTTGGTCTCGATATCCACCGTCGAAGCTTGCGCGGCGCTGATGGTCCCAAACGTTTTAATCTGGCGATCGTAGAATCCGTTTGCTTTGCCAAAACTCGTCAGGCCGGCTTCGGATATATTTACTCGATGGAGTTTAGCTAGAGTACGGATAGCATCGTGCCACCTATTTATTCATTAAACACCACATTAGCATTTCCCTCTCCCATAACTTCAATTATCGAATAAGAAAAGCCAGAAGAAGTAAAAAACAACAACAACACACATCTCTCTCCTCTCCATCTCTCCCACTCCCGGCATCCCAGGATCCTCAATAATCCTCCCATCCAAAAATTCCATAATATAGAACGGTGTACCAATCACCCCCTCATCCTCACACAAACAATACGTTTTCGGGACCGGCACATCCGTCTTCCCCAATGCATGAATGACGCGGTATTCGCGCTCCACCTGATGCGCCGTTTTCGAGACGAGTTTTCCCGGGGGTTTCTTGCGCATCACGTATTTGTGCCCATTGGAAGACTGCAGTTGGTATGTAGGATTTGATTGTCCGAATCCGAACTTTGATGAGATGAAATGAATTAGCATCTATCGAGTATCGAATATCGAGTATCAGGTACCGCGAAGTTCACGAGTTGCAATGAGGAGGGAGATAGAAGAGAACAGCATACGCACTTGTGTAATCTCAATCGGGGTGGTGATTTCTGGAACATGCGTCTCGATGTATTTCTCCAGAGCCGGGAGATCAATCGGTTGTCTGACGGGTCCGGCCATGGTGAATAGACGGTCGTTTTGAGATGGGATGGTGTGGAGGATAGGATATGGGTGGAAACATTTTGGAGAGCTGGATGTTGTATTTATGAGACAAGATTGAGGTCGGACAGTTTTGCCTCGGCCTCGGTTCAACAGGGATGTGGAATGACGCTAACCCCCGCGGAGGCGGGGAAAGCTTATTGAAGGTACCGACTACTCGTAGCTTAGCCTACTCAGGAGAATAGTCAAGACTATAAGGAAAGTCTAATGCTAGTGCCAGTTCTATAGACATCAATACATCCCTCATATTCTCAATCACCAACCAATCTCAAGCTTTAAATCACCAATCCTCAACATTGTCATTGATCTAATCGATTTACGTAACATTACCCAGTTTCCAATACCTAGGTAATCAAAAGAATAGATTTGCGACTCCTGATTCAATCTACCACATGCTCAATATCACCAATCCAACATGACAAATTGAATAGTGAAATAATAACTTTGAGATGAGACAATTCATACATGTATTTGGGTATATATAAGTCCTGATTCTTTTTATTGAAAATCCCCGCCAAACTAGTTGCTCGCTGTGCAAAGCTAAATGCTCAAACATCATTTCCACCCACACTTTAATCGCTTTTTCCCCCCTATTCACATCTCCTAATTCTACCACTAAATAATACAATAATACGAAAACACAAAAAGGGGAAGCCGATCTCGAATTAATCGGGACACCCATTCCCCTCCTTCCTCTATCCACAATCGTGGAAAACTCCAATTCCATTCAGTCATCCATCCCAAACTCCATCCAAACCCCTCTATAAATACATTTGGAAGAAAACTAACAAACGAGATCTGACAAAAAAAATATCAAACTTTCCATGTTGGAATGACCACGAGGTTCATGATATGCAGATAAAAGGCAAAGGCAAGACATGCTCGAAATCAGGGTACTTATAATATAATACAGAAATGCAAATGCAGGAGAATGGGATATGAAGGAAAAAAATAGAATAAAATAGATGTTCATGGTATCATCCTGAAAGTCAAAATCAAATAAGGCAAATAAATGGTGGGAATCCATACGCGATGAGGCAACCGAGATATATAAAAAATCATCCAGTTATTTCTGCAGCTCTCCTTTTCTTGGATGGTTGGACTTTAAAAGTTCAAACTAGGTTGAACACCCTTCCCCATCGTGATCTGGCTTAAACTCAACGTCCTTGCATCATCATTCCCAGTGTCGACAGTCAGTCTTGAGCTGCCGCTTCCGTAACCCTTTCCAGTCCCAAAAACTTCATCTCCAAAGTTCTGACCTCTTAATTCTTCTCTAGGGGTTTGAAAAACTTCGGAACCTGCTGCGTATGCGTCATCATCACTTTCCACGCCAAAGCCTTCAGATGTGCCTTTGGACGATGATGTGGTATCGAGAATAGGGCCACCTCCAGTAGCAGAGTCAGGGGTGGGGTATGACGTGGATGCTATCGAAGGATAAGAGGCCATTTGTCGTTGTAAGGTGAGGACAATACTTTCAAGTTGTTCGCGAGCTGATTGTTCCGCCAAGAACATATTTGTTAAATTGTTGTAGTGCTCCATTGTTAAATGGGCATCTTTTTGAATGGTAGGAGAGCTAGATGGAAGACCTCGAATAGTAGTCGAGGTTGAAAGAGGTCGACCAGTGGTGTGGGAGCTGCTCAAGTGCACACGTTCATCTGTCGTTGCGGCATATGGAGCTTGCATTGTATCATCAAAATCAGGGTGGTAAGAATTATGAGACGATGATGTTGGGCGGTGAGGATTATTATTCGAGAGTCGGCTCTGAGCTCCAAATTCGTGCCAATGTCGATGCCGGGGTAAGCCTGGTAAAGTCGTTTCTGAATTATCAGTTGGAGGACGACGAGCAGAAGAGCTACGATCTCTCTTGCCTCCTTTGGGGGGATCTTGAATTGCGACATTGTCTCCATTTTCGTTTAGTCGCCGATGAATCTGAAATACCGTCTTCCCCATTTCGACCAATCTAGACTCGATACGATCAACTCTTGTTGCCAGGTCGGCAGCCTGGGTGATCTTCATGCCACTCAATCCACTCAGATGACCAAAATTGAAAGGCTGTGGCTGATCCTGAGAATCTATTAATCGTGGACTTTCCGGATCATTTATTGACCTAGGCTCCTCCACTTCCGCTTTGTCTGATGATAATGGAGATAATGGCCCTGGATCGTAGCTAGCTCTCCAATAACGAATTTCATCGCTCCGACGTCTATCGATTCCTCCTGCAATTCTTGCGGCTTCACGCAATTGACCAAGAGACCTTGAGCGCCTGTTTGGGTGACTGCTAATTGTAACTGCCATTCCAATTGAACCAGGAAGCGCCTCGTCAGAGGGAGCTTTACTGCTTTTAGCTTGAGCACTCGCAGGTCGTGGTGAAAGACCCGTCCAATTCACATATCCTGGCGTTTTATCTGGAGTGTATAGTCTTCCCGTTGTAAGCCTTGTTCTTGTCGTTGTACTTTGTGTTTGTGTGGATATACGGTTTGGGTCCCGCTCTGTGTTAAGCTGTTCCTTCAGGCTGATATCTACGAAAGGAGAATGCGATCGGAGGGCTCGATTAAACTCATTGATCGGCATGGAAGTAGATCGTTTGGGGGAGGTCGCGGTGTTCAGTGGACTTCGGCTGAGCGCAGATGGGTCCTATAAATTATTAGACAAGAGTAACGTAACGCAACATGCCTCTACTCACGCTGCGGTGATGCTGTTCACTCTGCAGAGCACCAACGCTCTGCTTCTTATTTGCAGCATCCTTCTTTTTCTTGCCAAATATTTTGCCAAACACTCCTTTGAAAGTCGACTTCTTTCGCGCCGGCTTCGAGAGTATTGACCCTGATGGTCTGCCAACAGGCGATGAGCTCCTTGGAACGCTGTAATCCTCTGTCCTACGTGAGGGGGCATTATATGATGGCCGATCGGATGGTAAAGGGGTGGTTCCTATTCGCCTGGGCGGTTCGATATAACTGCCAGTCCCCATCTCTCCATGTGCCAGAGCACTATCGCGGCCAGAAATGGCGGAGCCCCTCATAACTTTTTCGATTCCATCAGAATTGAGAGATCCAAGAGGCGTTGCTATACCAGTTCCTGGAGAGCGAATGGGAAATTCGTCGTCGTCCTGGATGGGGATAGGAGCAGAAATCTTTCCACGAATGGTCGAAGCGGTATTTGTTCGACCTGAAGTTTCCGTCTTCCAGGTCCCGGCCTTTGTAAGTTTACTCATTTTACTGAGAGCCGGATATTAGAACGGGTCCTTCAGTCTGCCTGTATTCATAAGTGGGTCGAGGATGAAGGATAAATCTATTGTGACAGTGGATTGTTTGATAGATGTGGAACGACTCCTAGGCATATTCGCAAGTTCCGAACGACGAGAAGTTTGAAGAGTCTCAGTGGTTTCCCCAGTCGAATTAGATGTTAAAATTTCATCATGGCTCCTCAGGGTTGAATGTACGGCAGTCGAGTATATATGTGAGTATATATATTATCTCTCTGCCCTCTCTCTCTCACTCTTTTAAGCAACTCCGTACTATTCAATGAAATGGGTCAATGGGTCCCTTTACCCAGGGAACTTTATCGATCCAGGGCGCATCACACGTATCATATATTCTGCGACAGAAGTAAGCTACTGACAAGGAGCGACCATGAAACAAGATAAATGACAAGAAGGAAAATTGAAAGGACGGGGAGATCGATTCAAGAATAGAACTAAAAGATTCAAACCAAACCCACAATGGTAAGGTTGAATGGAATGATCGTTTTCATCCCTGTTGAGGCGGCTGTATGGAGCATTGAAGCATTGAAGCATAGAAGCATGCATTGGAGTGGGAGGGAGGTGGATTGAAAAGATTGGTAATGATACGAATATCTTCCAGTATCTCGCAGTATCTGAGCCAGCATCTCCCAGCATTTCTTAGTATTTTGTAGATTTCTTTTACATTTTTAGCATTTCTTTGCATTTCTTCGCCTTCTTCGCATCTCCTGTAAAATGTATTGTCAAGAACAAGGAAGAAGATATTGTACCAACCTACTCGAGAAGCGACTGCACGAAATAGTAAGAAATAGTAAGGGTAGTATGAATAGTATGAATAGTATGAATAGTATGAATAGTATGAATAGTATGAATAGTATGAATAGTATGAATAGTATGAATAGTATGAATAGTATGAATAGTATGAATAGTATGAATAGTGTGCTTAAAGCTAGGAACCTAGGAAGGTATGAGTTGTTGTCTGCAATGCACAAGAATTTTACCCCACAAAGGCTTGAAGCTCGAATGCTCAACTCGAGAGGGGTTTGCTTAATTAATCAATCAATCATATCAATTATATCAATCACATCATACATATATCCATATCTACCTACATACATACACATTCATCCTACATACATATATCCATCCATCCATACATACACATCGCCCATCAACTGGAATTCAACATTTTAACTACTCAAGACGAACACAGTTAGACAAGTACATGTCAAAAGTGGAAATCCGAAAAAGGGAGAATCATGTACAGAAGAAGAAGATGAAGAAGAAGCAGAAAACAAGCTAAAAAGATCTTTAAAGAAATAAGAAACCAGCTAATAATAATAATCTCAATGAATCAAATCAATCAATCAATCACCGAACCACCATAATCTTCCACGGTATAGCTTTACCTACCTAGGTCGAACCAAAACATGCGAAAATTCCTTTTTTCCTTTTCTTTCCGTTGAACGAACTCCCAACATCATCCGAAAAGAGTTAACGTCCCCCGGGAGAGAAAGGATAGCAATCCTTATTCGTGCTTGGTGCCGCGAATCCACCGTGTTTGCTTTTGAGCCTTTCTATCTTTGAATGAGGGAGAGAGGAGAATACTTTTGCTTGATGGATGATGGGTGATGGATGATGGATGCGGATGGCGGGTGGAGCATTGGTGATAGTCTATTCATGCAGGGTGTGTTGGAGGTTAAGTGGTTATGGGTGTAGTAACCTTATCATGGTTAGTATGACTACCTAGGTAGTATGGATGTTATGGATGTTAATCATATTATGAATATGTTCTGTAAGTGGAAGTGGAAGTACCAAGTACTCCTCGACTAAATTATAATTCAACCCCTTCATCCAAAGCGAGATACTTAGTATTATTACTATCGTCCCTATGTAAATCCTGTCTATGCCAATCCCGTAAATCCTGTAAATCTCTTCACATAGCGATGAACTACTTACTCTAAGGTAATATAAAAGTATTGAAGTTAGGTACTCACACATATACTCATACTCACACTCCATAAAACAAAACGACACCTCCTATTCCACCCTCCAAAATCACAATCAAAATCAACAAACCTACATCTTCACCAAACTCCATACATACATACATACATACATGCTTCTCTCTACCTGTATCCCAAGATACTATACGCAGCACATACTCAAGTACAAATACCACACTATCTCAGATAACGGTTAAGTTAAACATGCACCTCACTGCACCTCACTGCACCTGCACCTCACCCATCCATCAATTATCCCTCCACCTTGCATAGTATACCTTACATAGCATACTATACTCTACGAAGATATACTCCCAAACATCCGTCTATGCAAATGCAATTCCTAGGCCCCTTCATTTCACTTCACTTCCCAAATCACAAATCACAAATCACACAATCCCCTCAAAAGATCCTCCTTCTTCCCACCCCATGGGATACATAAGACAGCGCCAAGCAGTACTCCATACTCCATACAGATAAATACCTACCTACCTACCTACCTACCTACCTACCTACCTACCTATCTCAACATTATCGCATAAATATCCAGGGGATGCGTTTGAGCTCGTATCTCCAACCGATGAATGAATGAATAAACCCTTTCAATTCTAAATTCTCAATTCTGCAGCAGACAGACAGACTTGAGATAATCTTTTATCTCTTATAAAAATGTACAAGCAGGGTTACGAATTACAATTACAGTATGTCCTCTGTATATAGTAAGATTACATATTCAAGAAAATCCTACAACTACATAGAATACCATACCATACCACACCATACCAACAATCCTCCCTCCATTCATGTTACTGCATACTGGTATATCTCTCAAATCTCGACTTGATATATCCATATCCATATTCATCTTGCATACCTACCGATACCGTACAACCCAAGGTTGCTGAAGAGATTATAATGAATAGATATACTAGGTAGGTAGATATATATATATATGTTTACCCGAATCTACCTACTCACAATATCTACACATACAATACAGCACATCTTCCCATTCTCCAAAGCAAACAATACAACCCCAATGATCCGCGGCCCCAGCGGCATAGCACAGAAAATGGAGTACCATCTACTCCATACATAGAAAACATACACACACTATCAAAACCAATCAATAGCGCCAGTATCACCCATAAAAATAAAAAATAAAAAACCCCCTCCTAGCTCCTAGCTCCTAGATCAATAATCAACCGCAACCGCGACAAAAAAGGTTCTCGAGAGTGGGTTGCCTCGGTGCTTAGCTACCTACATTACATATTACATTGCATACATCTAGATCTATACCCCAAATGAGCAAGTCCGAAAATGTAAAAACGGGAACTCAATCTCCAATTCGCGATTAGCTTTTTCCTGCACGCACGCGGCATAAATCTATCTTTCGTAAACTTTTAGCCTGCCTGCGCGCGCTTCGAAGGAGGATATCATATCATATCATTATTATCATATCATGTCATGTCAAACATTGCATTCGACACTAAAAGTTCAACCCCCCGTATGCATCCCCACAATTTTCTCAATCGTTGGAGATGCGATAGGTCATGTCGTCTTCATACTTTCCATGCAATATACAGATGTGACAGCTAACGCCGCCATCCATAATCAAAATTTGGGGGTCTTTGACTCTTTGATAAGAGAAAAAAAAAACGGGTTGATTATCAAGTCTTTTTGGAGATGGCACCAGTGGACTTCGTGAAAGATTCTCGGTACGAAGCACATCTTGGGATCCGTGCCACTGCCATACTCTACATGAAACTACAGGGGGTCCTTGAGATCGAGTTCGTCATTCGTCTGATGCACATCCTCTTCTCGAAAGGGAAAGATCAAAATCGCGTGGCACGACAGCGATGGTGTTTATGGACATTTTTGTGGGTCGTCAGCAAAGACCAAAAAGAAATGCGAGGAGCGAAAAGCTTCCGAGGCACATCCTCCAAGCTCCATGCGTAACTGCATAATTTCGTTCATGGATCTCAAACTTTGGGACGGGAACTAGAGTGCCATTGAAGGTGTAACGGTTTTTGGATTTTTCGACCGAAATCCTAATTGATTGATGGCCATTACGAGTTCAACTCCGCTATGGACGGGTATCGTAAGTCGGCATTTTCTTCCAGAAAGTCCATCCATCGTTTGAGAAATTTACTACCTCTGCATCGATCATACATCAATTGTCAGCATATGGTCTCAACCAGATTGGATCAAGGAAATAAATATATATACAGAGTATAAGAAGGTGAAAAGGAGGTCTGAACTTACCTCGAGACAGTTTCCGAATCACCAATGATTGTCAGTGAGCGTCGCGGTCGGGTCATAGCGACTAGATTTTGCAGGTTATATCAGTTGCATGATCATGGTTTCCTCATTATTACTTGTGCATAGATATTTGGAAGTGCAACTGCTTAGCATTCGTTGTGTGAGGTCGATTATCAAACATGCTATAGCCCAAGAACCATTTGATTTGGTTTGCGGGAGATCTGCTTTAACAGTGATCATGCTGGGATGCGGGGGCGGGTGTTTAACGAAATTCATGCAAAGAAGGGTTTGATGGTTCTAGAAGTAGAGAACAGATGAAGAAATTCATGCAAAAGGGAGGACGTACCGTTCAATCTGCGCCTCTCTCCTAAAAATCCCACTTCGCGTTCGCTGTTACTTCGAACGAGGGAAACAATGATTGCTTCTTTTTCCCTTCCTTGAAACCCATCAACACTGCCCAGTTCGATGCCGGGAAAGGCCTCCTTCATCGACCGAGACATTAATGCGAGCTTTTTGGGTTAGTATTACTTCAGAGGAAAGATTATGAGGCACAAAAAACTGCTATCATTCTCACCTGAGCGTTGTATGGCGTTACAACTGCAATATCCTCTGGCTTCAACCCAGCATCGACAAGATTCTGGACATGTCGTCTCACGAGAACCGCTTCCATTTCGTTACTTTTACTTTCACCTAACATTCCCTTGCCGGCTTTCTTATCAACACTCTCCTCTTCGCTCTTTTCCGGGAAGTCACCACCCTGAGTGTCGAAGAATATCAGGGGCTCAATAGTATCCTCTGTTTCCTCGACATCATAAGGTAGTTCTGTGAGAAGTCTTGCCTTAACTGCTTCAGCTGCGACAAGTTTTGATTCATATAACTCGTCCGAGGGAAATCTCATGATCTTTTCATGCATGCGGTATTGTGTAGTAAGCATGACTTTGATTCCAGTGCCATGTAATTTTAGTAATCGATCAAACAGAGTGGTCTCCAAAGTCATCCCCTTAATGATACCCTCTGTCTCTGTGTCTTGTGATTTCGTTTTAGTCTTGGAATTTAGTGATTTGATTGTTGGGGGCAACTGGAGATGATCTCCGGCAAGAACAACTTTACTAGCTGATAGCAAAGATACCCAACATTGAGCTTCCAAAGCTTGACTATAGCATAAGAAGTTAGAAATTATCTTCTAAGGGGGAATCGCTGAGAAAGACGAGAGACGATCGGAAAAAGAGAAGAGAAAAACATGACATAGATGTTTGGAATTGGATGCCGCAAATTCAGAGAAAACATTGCACTCTTACCTAGCTTCATCAATGATCACAACGTCAAATTTCTCATCCCTCAGTTGAAATCCTCCAGCACCATGCAAGGTTGCAAGTACGACTTTGGAACCGCCCACTAAAGTATTGACGCATTCCTTTCACCGTTCTCGAAACTCTTTACGAAGTTCCTTGAGATCGCCATATATAGCTTTTTCGTTTCTCTACCACTCTTGGTCTTTTTTTATAGAGCTTGTTTGGTATCCATTTCTTTCGTACCTCTTGCACAATCGCAGCCCGCTTCTGAAGTCTGTGTAAGGACATCAAGAGAATGATTGACAACTGATGGTAAAAGTCTCGCTGGATGACCCAAGCGTACAATAGGTACCTTATGTGGTGCAAGTCGCTCAACAATATTATCCACGGATATATTGGATGGCCCACACACCAAGACTCTGAGATTCTGTTTGAGCATCTGCAGAATAAGCTCAATCAAGGTATGGGTTTTACCAGTCCTATCAATTATTAGCAAGTTTCTCGAGCGACATAGTTCCTCCATCTATTTTTCTTGACATTTTGCCAACACTCCCGTTGAAACTAGTTGTGTTTTCGTGATTCAGAAAACTGCAACCGCAGTTCCATCAACAACTAATGTGGACATATTTGATAGTACTCGCCTCGATGAAAGAGCCTTCATGGATACTTAGAAATGACTCGCCGAATGCCAGAAAAGAAAACTAGGATACTCACTCCAGGTGGCCCATGAATCAAAGCCATCTCTCTCGAAGCAAGTGCAAATTTGATGGCATGCTTTTGACTATCATTTAAACTTGGATCCAGCCACTCAATTCCCGTATCCTCCAGATTTTCTAGAACTGGCGAAGGTGATGACAATCCAAACAAAACCCTTACGAAATTCGAATATTCCGCTTCTTGCATCTTCCCCAGTTTTCCCATGGTACCATTCATTCTAAGTTACCAATTAGCAACCCACCCTATTCTCCTCTCACTCAATCGGCTATCAATCTAACAGATCAAATCAACATAGAATAAACAAACCTTTTGTACGTGACATCATTTGCGAGCTTGACCACCCAACACCTTTTCATACCCCCAACATTCTCCTCGCCCTTCCCATTCTCATCTAGCGCAACCCACACCGCACTCCTCCCTACTTTGGTCACCACACCTCTACTCCCCTTCTCCTCTAACTCTTTGACTTCCCTCTTCTTTGCACTTCCACTGGGCTGTTCACTAACCGCCACAATATCGCCAACCCGTATCCCATGTTCTTGTAATTCACCTTCTCCCGAGCCCCCACTACCACCTTTACCTTTGGCTCCAGAGCCAGAACTAGAAGTTGCCGGATCGGGACCCAACTCAACAACGGTTTTTCCTCCCAATCCCGTTCTTTGAGATATCAAAACGAGATTTGTAATAGCAAGACCAGCTCGTTGAAGGGAAGTGGGTGAGGTTCCAGTTATGAGGGTCGAAGTTTCGGACAGCTCGGATTGAAGTTCTTGGTCCAAGAGGTGGAGTTGAGTTGTACAGAAGGATGGAACATCTACTGGCTTTAGAGTAAGAGCCATTGGTTTTACTCGAGATTGTTGACAGGTGGATGTGTAGAGGAATTATATTTGCGAGGTGTAGGTTGGGTAACTAGCACGTGTAGTGGGTATCTCCTGTTTAGGTAATGGAAGTGGCTACCATGGAAGTTTTTATCTCGACCCTTTTCTGTTTGAGAGTGTCAAAGAATTATTCAAGAACTCGACTGCGAACGGAACGAAAAGTGTTGTTAATTATCGTGACCAAAAGTCTCAGGGGATGAGAATGAGTTGAGGTTGAGGACTTTAAATTTCAAAATTGTGGTTGCGTCAAGTCACACGTGACTTTGAGATGTTATCGATATGTTATTGATACCTACCTACCTAGGTATGCACTCAAAATTATCACCTACCGGTACACATTTTCTTCCGTCACTTGTTTGCACACTCACTGGAATCTTGTGATATTTTATCAGAGTATTTCGCCCTTTCATGATAGGTTGATAATGGAGGAGAGTTTCTCAAATCAGTGACTTTTGACCTACTTCGGAGAGCAATTGCACCGATCCATCTCGTTATGACACAATTTCCCTCTTTTTTTTCATTAACCCTTAGATTCTTGACAACATAAAGTATTAAAAGAACCACCAGCGTGATTCTATTATGATATTGATTTCTAATTCTCGATCCTTTCCCGCCGTTCGTCACATGCCCCGCCCAATCAAAGCTCCCGAGGTCATTCTTCATATCAAAAAGTCTCCGAGTCGGGCGGACTTTTCTCCTTCAAGAGTCTCCACCTAGACAAAAGTCCCCTTTTAATTCCCTCTGTTTTCAATACCAGTATATATTGTGGTAAATATCCTCTTAAATTCATATTCTATCTTGAGCCTACTCTACTCTACGTTCTATACTTTCTCCATTCCTAAACAAAGATGGAATCAAAATTCGCCACCAAGGTTCCAGCAACAATGCGTGCACTCGCTCTCTCCAAGTTTGGAAAACCAGATACATACGACATAGCAACCATTCCAACTCCGAAAATCACGCATGAAAATGATATATTGATCAAAGTGGAAGCGGCTAGTGTCAATCCTATTGATGTCAAGATGGCGGGCGGGTATGCAAAGATGATGTTCGATGTTAAGTACGTACTTTCTCTACCGTGACATCGATTGATGAAGGAAGTCAATCCTATGATGAGGGATGTGAGAATGAGACTATATCAGGTAATCATAGTCCACGCTGTGTCTGAGATATTCTCATGCGCACGAGATGGTCATTTTATCCAGCCTTGCGAATGATTCACACCCTTCAAGATCTCCTGGAATGTGTATTGTCATGAAATTCAGGAGAACGGATGTAATTCTGCTGCAATTCCAGGCGATCTTGCATCGACTTTCGCTTTCTCTGTATTATCTCTACTTTTTTCTGATATTTTCCAGGTTCCCCTACTTGATGGGCTACGATGTATCGGGTACTGTTGTCTCCACTGGTTCTTCCGTCACACACGTCAAGCCTGGCGACGCAGTCTACTCTCGCGTACCTGAACGTCATCGTGGAACCATTGGTATGCGCTGTCCCTTTTTTTTCGTTTTCCGGTCGTTGGACCCCCCTCTTCCCAGCTTTAAAAAGTACTCCAGTGTTTGATTGACATAATTGACTTCCTATTTAAGCACAATACTGTCTCTCGACTTCTGCAGCTGTAGCTCAAAAGCCATCATCCCTTTCTCATTCCGAAGCTGCCGCTGTGCCACTCGCAGCACTGACAGCCTATCAATCTGTGCTCCGAGCAGACAGTCAGTTACCAGGCGGACTAAAAGGTAAGACCGTACTTATCCCTGCTGGTATGAGTGGAACGGGTAGTATCGCTGTTCAGCTCGCCAAGAATGTGTTTGGAGCTGGGAGGGTCATTACCACTTTGAGTACTGGAAAGATAGGTAGAGCAGAGGAATTGTTAGGGAAGGGAATTGAAACAGTAGATTATACGAAAGAAGATGTCGTCAAGGCAATAGGGAAAGAGAGTGTGGATTTTCTCTTCGACACAACATCCTGCTCACTTTCTCTTGGTTCTCTTGTTAAAAAAGGGGGAGTCATAGTTTCTATTTCTATGATACCCGGTGGCACCAATACTATCGAGCGTATGAGTCGCCATACTGCTGGGGTATCTGAAGGAGGTGTTGAGGCCAAATTAAGTTGGTGGATGGTCAAAATTATGGATTTCTTAGATTGGAGTTTAAGAACGTGGGCCAGTTGGAATGGGAGAAGCTATAGCTATCTGATGATGGAACCAAGTCGGGAGGACTTGGAAAGGCTAGGAGAGTTGGTTAAAGAAGGAAAGCTAAGACCAATTGTAGGCTCTGAGGTTAAGCTTGAGGATACTGACGGTATTAGAAAAGGCTGTCAAGAGGTTTTTGCTGGGAAGGGTGGAATTGGTGAAATTTGTTATTACTCCTTGAAAGGTGTCGGCACTTGAGGAGTAGATCAATAATGGCACTATGAGCTTCGTTGTTTTGAAGAATAGCTCGAATCACAACAAGATATTTGAACTCGTCCATCGCTCTTAAAAGCACATGTTGTCATCAGGTCTTTCCGTCTCTGAAGATCTATCATCTCATTAAGCGCTCAACACTTCATTCACCGAGACAATGGGGGAATGTCGGCAATAATGTGTGCTTTGGGCAGTTCACCAATCCCAGACCCATATCAATTGTGAAGAAAGCGTATTTTTTGAAAGTCCAAATTTTGATAAAACACTTAGAATTGCGAATTGGAAATTCTTTGGGGCAGGGGGGGTTGGGGATTAATGAGATTTAGGGGCATGTGGATGGAGTTTTGAGAGAGAAAGATAGACCATCGTAATCGCATTCGAGTGCGTATATCTGATATGATTCTAACAAATGTATAGGTGTGAATGAGGAGGTTTTGGGAAGAAGTTTAGAGTGGAAAAGAAAAGAAAATGACTATGATCATACATACTGTATGTATAGACACTCCATACAAAAGTAAAAAATATCAGTTCGCACACCTGACAACATGACAAAAACAATGCGTTCGCCGGGAATCGAACCGGGGCCCATCGAAGTTGTTATCGCACTCTTCTGGTAATGAGGAGAGAGATGGCAACGATGGATGTTTACCACTAAAACCACAAACTGCTGTTATTTGATTGGTTGATGCTTATTCTTGTAATATTTTGAATAATATATTCAGTGAATGGAGATGTGCAATTGGATAAAAAACTGAAATAAAAAAGTCTTTCTTTGTTTGGTGGGGGTGAGGGGGTGGTGGATAAGAAGTGGGGTTAGAGAGGGGGCGGGGCTCTGTTTTACAGTACTAACGCACTGCTACTAGCCGCTTATTAAATCACATCTAAAATAAGTGTTTTTGTGACGATTGCATCATTTAGAATACTAAGGTGAAGAGCTAGAAGAGCTCTTCAGAAGGAAGTAATAATATACAGGATTGTGGATCATATGAGGATCTAGCCAATCCACTAATATGATAGGATTGTTATACTATCCCCCCCTTCTGAAAAGCTTGCCCTCAAATATACTAATAATATTCTAAATACGATTCTCCAATCCAACTATATTATAATCTATATTCTCTATTACCACTAATATCTGATCTATAATTTCAATACTAGTTCAATATTGCTTATAATATGATTCATAACATTATTGATTGTTTTATGGAAATATACGTTTTGTGATTTTATCGCTTTTGTGAGAAGGCTTTGAAATCAATAGAAGAAGGTTTGAGAATTGTTGAAAAAATAAAATAAGCGAAAAAGGAGATCTGTTTGAATATATTCTTATTTAATAGTATCAATGGAATGGTGGAAGTATTAATGAAATATGAATTGATCTAATAGATTAACTGAATAAACTGTTTAATTATAATATTGATTATATAACTATATTGATACTTCGAATAATTAGTTCCTATAATTTGTATATTAAGGTTTAGGATCTTTAGATTTATTATAATAAAGCAAGAAGACTTTAAAATAATCTAATAAGTAAGATATCAGCTTATCGGTAAGTAAGATTTGCGGAATAGAGTTAGAAAGAGATCTTGATTGAAAGATTGTATAAATAGTTGTATTGGGGGAGTGGGTGTAGAAAGTAATAGGTATTTATTGAGTGGCTAGCGATAGAAAGCTTGCAAGAATGATTAAGAGCTTAAAAAATTTATATGATCTTAGTATAATATAATAATTATATTATTTAGAATATTAAGGTAAAGAGCTAGAAGAGCTTTTTGGAAGGAAGTGGTAATATACAGGATTGTGGATCACGTGGAGGACCTAGCCGATCCACTAATATAATAGGATCGTCACAGTTTTATTACTTTTGTTTTATATAAAATTAATAGCTTTAAATCAATATTTTTATTTGAATTTTGATAAACATAATATTTCGATATTAATATTTAATAAAATCAAAATTTCAAAGCTTTCAGATTTTATTTAAATACTTAATTATATTGTTTAAAAATCGAATTATAAAAGTTCATGATTTTTCGCTTATTTTACTAGCAAATTTCAACCTTTTTAAGAAATTTTAATTTTCTTAATTTCAATTCTATATTCTATAATGAATAAAATTATTAAAAATAAATTATAAATTTTTTAATATATTTTAATTAAATATTTATTCAATAATATAATTTTTTATAATAAATATCAAGTTTAATAATATCAAAATCATGAATACATTCTGTGAATTTTGATGAATTTTGGTGGGGTTTTAGAAAACGGCTAGTAGCAGTGCACGGTGACTGTATGATGATAAACCTAAATTATCTGTCAGAGATTTCTGCACGTATCAAATGCAAAAATTTGGAGTGGCTACACCAAATTAGACTTTCCTGCACCCATTTTGCCACGGAGCCAAAAAGTCTCGATTTCTTGGGACTGCCCGCCATTTTTTTCCAGTCCGGAGTGATCGAGGATCCTTCCCCAGTCCCACCCAGGGGTTTATATTCCTGATGGATGATCCATGTGCAACTATTGGCGAAAACCCAATTCAAGACCCTCCGAGTATCTATCTCTATCAATGTTCATAGCCACATCCAAAATCTGTTGCATCTGACTTCCGATCTGGGCAATTGCTTTGGACTTTGAGATTGATGTCTTCGAGTAGTTCGAGTAGCACCTTTCTGTCACTACTGTGCAATATTGCCTCAACTTCTGCCGACTTTTTATGGATCGTACTTCGACATTCTTTGAGTTTGTTAGGCACTAGACTTTGTATGCCATGTGTAATTTTGGCCTTGCTTCCAGAAATTGTAGATAGCCATTTGGTAGAGAATAACTGCTGTGTATAATGACACTATTTTGCTTTTGACTGCCTCATCAACCTCATCTGGGGTTCCAGACATGTTGTTGAGATACAAGTTTTCAATCAGAGCATACCGGGTTATCAAATTCGCAATTGGCTCTTGATCAATTGCCATGTCCCTGAATTCATTATATACTACAGCTCTCTGTTCCGAGTCAGTAAATAATTGCAAGATACATAGAACATCATACGTACTTCGACGAAGAATTGCAACGAATCCCCCAAAACTAACGCTGCAGCCTTTGTAGGATCGAGAGCAGCCAGCTGGTTGCCGGGGTCCTTGAAAATTTTCACCCACTAAACGATGCGCTTTATGACATCTCGAAAAATAAAAACTTTCACCCCTTGAACTTTTCTTGTATTCCCACTGTCTTTCTAGAACTTCCCCCTGGAGTGAGATCAAGTGCTCGGATATGGCGTCAGCGAAGCTCGTGGATTTTTTGTTCTCGGTGCCACTCTTATTCAAAATGTTTTGGTTGTTGCCTTGACACTCCAGAATCGCTTCATCATATTCACGTTTGTGAGCTTTCCAGTCTGCGGACTGCTGGGCTTTGTCCACTGCCTCTTGCCATAGGTCGAGCTTAGCTTGCAATTTAGGTAGTCTAACTTCGTTTGCAGTTGTGTCATTTCGGTCAATCTGATCTTGTTTTTTGGTAGCAGCAGTGGAGCTGGTAAGGGTATGAACTTTTTTCTGTGATGGCTCAGGCTTCTTCTTATCACTTGATCTGAATTTGTCCTTAAAACTCCTTGCAAGGCGATGCCTGAAATTGGGCTTGATAAGTTTATCGTCGGGATTCATTCTAGCAATGATTTTGTAGTAATCTTCACGATTTTTCCGTCACCGAAAATCAAGACTGTGGACACGATCAACAAGTGTTTGCAGTTTTATTTCATTGAGAATCCGGCTGAACGAGATCAGGCAAGGAATCACCTGCTGACACGTTGTTGCACCAGTATTTACCTGATAAGGCAGCAAAGAGGTTTGAGCTGTACTTTCATCAGAATGGTCAACGGGAGTATGGATTACGACAATTATCCACGGGCTGGGATCGTTGCATATATTCGCCTAGGCAACCAGTAGGTTGTGCATGAGATCCGGGCTGAAGATGTATGGACGGCGACACCCTACCACCTCTCTAATTTGCTTGAATGTATGGCAAGTATTGCGCCAGGGAAAGACACTCATCGTTAGAAATACCGATATTGGAGTCCAAGGTAGTCATTTTAGGCGACCTTTATTTTAAGCCTTGCAACGTGCTCTGAGACGCAGGCTTTCCTTTGCTCCCGTTCTGTCGGGATATCGATCATGTGATCTAAAGAGGGCACCGTATTGCACTAGCGTATGCACTAGCGCTAGCACTTCTACTATATTAATTACTAGCTTCCCATAGATAACAATGATCAAGAACGAATACAACCATAATAGACTAAAGTACTTTACACTTATCAACCAAGTTGATACCAACACGTTCTTTTAACCTCTACCGATGATGATGCCCACCACGATCGACAAGAAGCACCTGGATGCTCGACACAGCTTAGGGTATACTCAAGGTAATATCTCTGCATTTGGCCAGAGAAAGACTGTGGTGGCACCAAAGAGGCCATGTAATAGCAAACTTGCCACATTGGCGTCGTGGGTAGAATTCGCGAGTGCATTTCTTCATGAATATATATAAAGAATCATTAGAACATTAAGATAGATATCGAGATCGACTTGAGAAAAAAATGATGATAAAGAGTGGAAAGTTGGATTATAAATTCGTAACGGAAGATTGAAAAGATTGACGATGTAGTTGGACACTCGCCAGTTGTGCCTTGTAATTCAGGAGTAAAGCTTGTTGGACGTGATGATACACTCGAGAGCTTCACGTGAGCTTCAAAGCTTCGTGGACTGACGTCTGCAGCAATTCAATCATTCAATGATAATCATTATCGAATACCCAATCGTTGATTTGTCCATCATCTCCCCGAAAAAAGAAACTTCGTTCATAGTGTCCAAACCTCCAAAATCCATCCAATCAAACCCCACCTATTTCAGTACAAGACCTGCCCGACCAATAAACACTCGCGTAATTGTAAGCAATGGTCATCAATTGACGTCCAACATACCTAGTAGCTTCTAGTATCAATAGGTAGCCAACTTTATAGTACGGGAGTGAGAATATATAAAGTACTTGTATTACTGCATTATCAACATCTATTCATTACTTTACATTTAAGCTTCATCTTTTCGTCAATAAATACTTTCAAGAAACAACTCGAAAACTAAGCACTTCAACGATCTCGAAATTACCAACATTGAACTTTCAGAACTTTGATAAATAATATCAAACAACATTCTAAGTAAAATGGCTCCATCAACATGTTGCAAGAAGGGCGGGGACGCCAGCAATGGTTGTGTTTGTGGTATGTTCCTATCTATTTTTATTCCTCTCTCATTTCCCCCTTCACCTCTTCCCCACCTTCCCCATCACGATATTCATCCTCACAATAGATCTCGTGAAATATCACATGAAACAAATCAAATCACACAACTAACGTTTCCTCCAGCAACCCAAGCAAAATGTTCCTGCGGCGAGAAGAAAGCTCTCGAATGCACCTGCGCTAAATCCGAGAGTGAGAATAAGGTCAAGGGTGCCAGATGTTCTTGCCGTATGTATTATCCTCTTACAAACATTCATCAAAATAATAACTAACAATCCCCCAGGTGCCCGTGCAGCCGGAGCTTGTACCTGCGAGCGTTCAGCTGAGGAAAACAAGGTCCCTTCTGGAGATCTCTGTTCATGTGGTGCTAGACCTGCTGGTATGTTTCTCCTCATTTCTTCTTTAAACGAGGATTGAAATGATATATGAATTTGAGTACTGATGGAAATAGATGCATGCACATGTGAAAAAGCCACAGATGGTGGATTACTTCCTACCGAGACGGATTTCACTACTAAGGCTTAGGAGGTAGATGGAGATGGAGTTCTGGATGAATGGTGAACTCGGAGTGGCGTTTGTGGGTTGAGGGAATAAGTTGCATTGGGTTGGCGTTTGAGTGTGTGGTCTGGATGATGTGGATTGGGGATTATGGATTGAATTGGACTGGACTTGACTGGGTTAGGGGCATATGTATTCAAGCATATATAAATAATCAAAAGATCTTGAGTGTAATCAAAGAATCAAGTGCAATGCGGAGTGTGAAGTGTGGAGTGATCATGGACTATAAAGTCAAGAGGTACTTCCTTGGATGGGTATAGAATGGGTGGGGATTTAGTATGAAGAAATGGAGATGGAATTGTAAATCTACGAAAACGAAAGGGAGATCGTGAATGGAAAGGAAGATTGAAGAGGGTATAGTTGAGGAATGGAGGGACAAGGGGGTGTTCAAGATGCTGATTATAGATGTCGTGGAGAGCTAGTAAACAATATTAAAGCCAGAGAAATCGCGAGATGGTAAAATGGAAAAACGTATTAGATATCCTACTGCGTAGACGGTATTGGGACGTTTGAAGGGAGGTTAATGAGATTATGCATCAGGAAAAGGAGTCAGAATATAGGCTCCAATCTCACAAGCGAAGAGGAGTTCAGCCTTTCAGGGAAAATCTAGTTCCTCGTATATTTCAATCATGTCAACACATGGAAGATTCTATTGGTGTAATATATGACTCAGTATGAGGTGTTCAAGATCTTGAATGATTGAGGGATTTCCGGCTGTCAAATGGGATTACCCGCAAACTCCAATTATAGTACACTACCTAGGTACTTGAAGAAGAACACGGTGAGACAATTCACAAGGTCGAATAGCCCTGCTTTCTAGTACTTCAAACATCAAAAGAATGATGTTATTCGCAACCCCACCTCCAACCCCATAAACCAGGGGCTCAATGTCCAGCTCTTGCTCAGCTATTGATGGGGACCAACGTCCCAAGAAACCGATTTTATGGTACGACAGTCATTCATGGGGCAAGCATTGCATTCAAATTGATCGACGGCCTAAACTTCATGCCAGCAATGCAGTACAGCGCAAATCATCTGGAATTCCTTGATTTTGTTCCCACCGTTTGTACGCCCTATTTCTATACAAAGTATGGTGCAGTTCCCCATAAGTCGGAAGTTTCAGAGGAGTCATACAGGTTCGATACAACCGAAAAAGTCTCGACGTATAAGCGTCAGGTTCGTTCCACTTACTATCGTAAGGATGGAGATGTTGGATCCACTGATAGTTCTTTTGGGCAGCCTTATGACTGACTATGTGATGTTTGGCTCCGATCGAAATCCGGTCACGTTTTGCAGGAAACAAACATCGGAATCGTGGCTCATGTGTTATCCTGGATATTTATGGGGATGCAAATTGTCCGAATCCGAGTCATGTCCGTACTACCTGCTTGTGTTGAGTACTTCTGGCTGTGATGTAAGACCGCATAGCTGTCAATACCGAGGTCTTTTGATACGGAAAAGCACAATTCTCTCATGTTGGATACTCGAGTAATCGAGCAATTTTGAAGACAAAAACTTTGGATATATGGTTATTACACGCTTGGAAAGTTATCTTGAAGCTAGTTTTCAACTCGATCTCCGTTGCATCACGCGTCACTCTTTTCCTCGTACCCAACACGAAAAGAGGGGTTGAATATCTGTTGAGCTTATGTAAGTACAGTATGTAAGGTACTCCAGATCTTACCTCCGATGCGAGGACAGATGCCTCGGGAGCTGAAGTGAGGTCAGGAACGAACTCTTTGGTGGATAATTTAGATCACGTATTGTACCAATAGAGTATAGACGACATCCATTCGATTGATACCCAACTTGGAAAAGAAATCTTCATTGTTTTATAATCGGAAGACGCGGTGGAGGGGTCTTTTACATATCAAGATCTTATCAATGTATTTACTCCACCAGGTCTCGCAAATCTCATCGAATGATCAAAATAAGGCATTCTCGACATTGTAATCCATATGAAAGTGGTTGGTTGGTACTTAGCTGGTCCAAGCTCAAGACACGTCCCTTCACCGCCAGCAAGTTGTGTGTTATGCAGTTTGCATTTGACCCTAAACTTGCATCGAATCCTATCGAACCACTTGATCTCTCTCGTCCCATCACATCCACATCAAACATAACCATTTATACCTCCTCCCGCCTTTTCATCTAACCTGCAGTACATATCTATCATTCATATTTGTGTATTCGTCGTTACCCCTCATTTCGATATCTATCTATTCATCATGCCTTTCATGTCCAAATCTTCCTCTCCTTCGACCTTTGCGTCTTTCCCAAAAATGACGGATATTCAGTTGCCTATTCGTGTGGCCCAGTGTGTTGGAATCACTGCTGCAGGTGCCCTGGCTGGGGCCAACCTCAGCATTTCCTTCATTGCCGTTCCAAGAATACTCGAATCTCCACCACACCTTCTACTCAAACAATGGAACAACATGTTTCAACAAGGAAAGGCGTTTTTCCCAATCGCTTCGTTGATTCCAACCGGATCGTTCCTCTTCCTCGCATACAAACAGACCGATAAACTTAAGATGAAGTTGTTTGGTGCTGCCGGCGCGTTGGCTTTTGGAATGATCCCTTATACAGTTTTGTTCATGTTGTATACAAATTCAAAGTTGTTAGGAAAGGTGGATGAAGCACAAGTAAGCTATGCCAATCAATCTGGGGGAGATTGGGATGATCTTTCATCTGGGTCTGGTCGCAAGCACAAGAAATCTTCCAAGGACCGCGAGAGAAGTGATAGAAGTTACAAGAAGAGTTCTTCCAGCAGGAGAAAGGAGGCATCCGATGAAGACGAAGATGTTCGAACTGCTCACGAGCTGGTTGATCGTTGGGCATTGTTGAATTTGGGAAGAGGTGCTATGATGTTGGCTAGTGCGGCTATCGCTACTTGGACTGTGGTTAGATATTCCAAGAACTAGAGGGATTTACGAATTTCTACGAGGTACCTACGATAGACGGTTTCGCGGATGATGATTATACACGGATATGGATATGGATACGGATGGGAGGGCGGTGGTTTTGGTTTTAACGACTTACATGATACAATCGGATGATACGAAATATGATATGGCATGCGTTCAATGAGAAAATGGCTTTATGAATTGGAAAAAAATGATGGATAGTATATGGGAAACGAGGAGGATATGTTCGACCTTTGAATTTATATGGGAGTTAAAAATCGCGATTAGAAACGCAACTCAACCATTGTTATAGACCATTGGTGCAAATCAAAATACCAAAAAAATAATCATTTTTCAGCCTCAATTTTATTGCTTGGACAACCTTGGAAATCACGAATTAACGATAAGTTACACAGAGGATGCAAGAAGATACCTATGATTATGGAAACTCAATTGTCCCGCAATATCGACAGCAACAGGAATACTGTCGACGACAATAATCACATTATTTACTTGACCCTCACATTTTTGACTCATTCATATGCATTTTTTTGCACAACATTTATTCTGCTATTATGCATTTCTTCCCGGAGGTTCTAGCCCGATATTTCAATGATTTCGTGTTTCTCTTTGTCATAACTGGCTGTACGGGTACCTTGGAAGACACCAGCCATAATTCGCACCGCCACATATGACGCCGGTGCTTTTTAAGCGGGGGATTTACAGGGCAGTCTGGCTCTACGTAACCGAAAAAAGCGGCGCAAATTGAGTACCCTTTCAAAGATCTTTTTTAATAGATTATAAATTCATTTCAAATTAAATATTGAAATTTGAAAAAGTTAAACGAAAATCTGAGTCTTTTTTGTCTTGGTACTAAGTGTTTTTATTATTTAATATTATATCGAGAAGAGATTTTAGTTGTTGAAATTCTTTTGAATGGTGGTCAATTTCCGCCGCTTTTTTCGGTTACGTAGAGTCTGGGCAGTGTCGTCATTCCCCTCACAATCTCATGGCGCTTTGTGACGATTGATGTACGCAAAAGGTGGAATTCGATGGAAAATCATTGAAGAATCGCATCCTACCAAGTTTTCCAGTACCAAGTATTGACGTCGAGCTAGACGATCCAGAATTATTGGAATACATACCGAGTAGATAGATATATATAAGAATTGAAGCTGTCAAGTTTCTCTCCTTCTTCTCTCCATATACAAATACATCCCTTGGAAAAGTTTAATACCCTTACTTTACATATCAATTGAATTACTACGTCGTTGTTTCCTCCCTTTATACACATTATACACATACCATTCTTCGTAATAAGATACCTACCCAAACTACAACACACAACACAACGCACGATACATACATACATAATGCTCGCCTCAAGAACAGCATCAAGAGCTGCGGCTCGCACAATTCGTGCACCCATTAGACAACAAGCTAGACAAACTCGATTTGTTTCGACGACACAAGCTGAAGGTGCAAAGGCAGGTGGTGCTTCGGGCTTTGCAGCGGGTATTGCAGGTGGTGCCGTGGTTTTGGTTGTAAGTATTTTGTTTTTCTTTGCTATGAGTATAAATCTACCTTTGAACGCCATACTAACTCTATACCCTAGGGGTGCTATACATACTACCAATTTTCTGGTGCCAAAACCGTCGTCAACGCTTACTCTTCTACGAAATCTCAGTTCCAAAAGGCTACCTCAGCACTTTCTGAAAAAGCTCCCGAACCAAATCAAGCTATCAAATGGCTCCGCAATGCCACTTCTTCTTATGCCGCCTTTATCCCTGGTGCACAATCATTCCTTGATAGTGCATTTAACGATATTGAGAAAGTACAAGAAAAACATGGCAAGGAAGTCGATGAGATTGTCAACAAAACCTATTCTGAGTTGAAGAATATCAGTAACAAAGGAGGACTTGATATGCAAACTGCGGTGCAGAGTTATAATGTATTGACAAAGGCATTGGGCGAGATTGCTGAGTTGGGGAAGGACTCTCTAGGAGACATTATGGACAATCACCCACAAATCAAGAAACAAGTAGGGAGCAACTTGGATCAGTTGAAGAGTATGGCTGAGAATTACGGACCGGATGCCAAGAAAGAATTGGATGACACCTATAAGAAAGTTTCTGAGATTCTCTCCGGAGGATTGGGTGCCGGGTCGATTGAAAAAGTTCGTAAATTGATCCAAGAGAAGAGCGAGAAGGTTCAGAAGCTTGGAGAACAAGCTTGGAATAAGGGAATGGAGGAGTGGAAACCATATTTGGAGAAGAACCCTAAGGTTAAGGAGATTGTCGAGAAGAACACCGATGCCTTGAAGTCTGGTAACGTCAAGGAAATCTTCGATCAAGTCAAGAGAGCTGTCGAGTCTGGAAACACAGATGATCTTCAGAAATATGTCAAGGATGCAGGAGAGAAGGCAAAGAATAGTGGATTGGGACAAAATGTTCAACAGTATGCTCAACAAGCTGCTAAGATGGCAGGAATCCCCGGATCAGAAAAGTTGTGGGAGAAATTACAACATTTGCAAGATGTAGCAAAGGATCATGGGGATGAGTTGGAGGGCTTGGTAAAGAGTGCTTATGACGATATTAGTAAGGTTGTTGAGAAGAAGGTTGCGGAGGCGGAGAAGTTGAAGGGAAAGGTTGAGAAGGATGTCAAGAAATAAAGGGGGAATTTTCATTTGGGATAAACGGGTGAAGCATGGTTTATGAGTTATACTGGCTGGCTTGTAATATAGTTTGGGGCGTGGATTGCATGGGATTGGGCTGGGCATGACATTGGGATGGAGAACAGAACAAAATGATACGAAAAATGAATAAAAGTAATTAATGATGCCTATTATATTCTCCTGACTTGGTAGTAGAGATGGTCGATGTGATGTTAAACAAAAAACTGGAAGTCTTGAATACCTGTGACCCGGTGCCCACTCAGAGAGAGCCCTGTGTGATATGAGTGGCTCAGGAGCTGCCCCTCATTCTTGAAAGTAGCCTTGCATAATAGCCTTGCAGATTAAAGTTTAGCCTTATGATCCGTGCTTAAGCTTTTCTCGTATCAACTAATCAAAACCACATTTCTCATCATCATTATTACATCACGAAGAATTGATCATCAATCGTCAATCATCTGCATCCTATAATTATCAATGCCGTTAATATTTCAACAAATCAATGACTTTGTTGGAAAAACATTCTGGGAATGATGGAGGAACACGAATTGACAAGCTCTCTTGTTATTACAAGTTATGATGTTCAGACACCAAAAGAAAGAGTACGTGATCAGTCCTATCAATGTGTCTCCGGATTGCTGTCCGATAATGCGAGACTTTTGACTTCATGAAGTCTTTTTGCTGCTGTGACTACTTGCGCATAGTATCATGATATTCCACGGAGGTTGAAGCTCAAGTCGAGTCGTATGGTCATTTCAGTGTAGTGAGACAATCAATAAAAACTACATTTCAATGGGAAAGATGCTACTTTTGTCACGTCTTTGCAGGCCAGTCAAATAATTGCTTTATATCATACTTACCAGTTATAGTTCTCTTCAAGTGGTCTTGATAGCAAGTCCCTTGATGATATTCAGACCGCTATCCACAAACTCCCGAGCGATGCTAAGACGACTTCTTTAGAAGGTATGCCTCGGCCAGCAACTTGGAGAATGAATTTAGTGGCCTTGTCGCAAAAGTATAATGTAGGTTTACTGGATATCTACTGAATTCCTGATGCTCATCTAACTACAGATGTACTTTGTGGCATATCTGGATACGATACACATCACAAGACCTCGAACACTCAAACAAATTCTGCCCGGTTTACCAGACATGGTTCTTCGATTACCAAAGTCGAGGGATGCAGGTTCTGGATACGTTTACCAATCCCGCCCGCATTGTGTTAACAATATGATCATTGGCAATCTTGGCAACAAAGAGATATTGTTGTTTTGTTGCGATGATGGGGATGTAACGGCATATTATACGGATCTTCTAGCAAAAGAGCTTCAACAAACGGTTGAAAGTACAGCTTCGTCAATTCCAATCGGTAGCACGCAACCGTGAGTATTAAAGTCAATGTCTATGTTAATCTGTTTCTTACTCATTTCAGATTTTTCCTCGAGAATGTCGGGATAAGTGCTTGGGGTATTGCTATTCATCAAAAATCGCGCCTGATTGCAGTAAGCTCTAATAAACAAGAAGTCACTGTCTTTGTTCATGGCACCTCTAGTAGTGAGCCTTGCGATTGCGCTGTGATGGGTTCCACATACGATGTTGCCACCGACCCCCTGACATTTGGAGTTAAGGCTAAGTCCCAAAGAGGCTTTCCTCTGGACTGTTGTTCCAAAGGTTTCGGTTACAAGACGAATGGACCTTTTACAAACACTTCATTTCCCTTGAGATACTCTAAACAGCTTCAAAGACATGATGGGCACTCCGTAAAACAAGGCCCATATCTACCAGGAACACCATGTCCCCGTAATTTTAGAATCATACTTAAGCCAGCCGGACCTAGTCACAACATTCCTGCCATTGCATTTAACGATGTCGACGAAACTGGCTTGGCTAAATCGATTATAGCTACTGATATTCTGGGCAGCCTGTGGCAGTTAGAAATATGGGAGGAGAACTCTAAATTGATTGGCTTACCTCTTGCCCCTGATCCAGGACCCAGATTAACTCAAATGTAAGTACTTCTATGCAGTTTCAAGTGTTTCAATAGCTCGGACTGTAGGCGGGCACTGTGAGACTCTTCTTGTCAACTCAGTTGGATTTCATATTATTTAAGAGATTCATATCATTTGAAACACTGTAATCAGTTCGAAGGTTGAATTTCTTGAACATGGAAAGCCCACATTTAGTCTGCTAGTCTGTATTGTTACAATCTTCCCTTATCAAGTATGGTTTCTAACAAACTTATTAGGGGCTGGGGAATCATGCCTATACCACTGCGATATTTCAAGCACTTTCAAAGTTTTGAAGATGCTTTGGGTGAAGAGGATTTAAATAGTGTTTGGTTTGAGTCCGTACAGAATTTGCTTGGCTATAGGGTTTGTCTGAATCTTGCTCAAAGAATGAAGCGCTTGGAGATATCTAACCCAATTTTGCAAAATGGTGAAGCGGTTTTGAACTCGGAAGATGACACAGGCTACGAATCGATGATCAGCGACTCGCCACCAGGTCAATTAGGGGGGTTGATTCGACACATGTATCCCACTCCGCAATCGATACGGTCTGCACAACCCAGTAACTTTATGAAACATATAAGCGATATGGCAATTTGTCACATTGATCCTACTGTTGACACAAGTGATGAAGTTGTCGTCCTTCGAACTTGGATGGACAGCATTGAACTCGTGCCTTCTTCGATACGTATTCCTGCAACTATATGTACGAATTGCTTTGAAGGTCATCAAACGCCGACTATCTTCAACGAGAATTTCCATAATATTACTCGAATCAACATGATGGCGTTAATACCGGAACTATCGCTTGTTATTGTTGCTTCTCAAATTGGTCGAGCAGCTCTTCTGACGCTGTCTAAAGTGCAAGTCGATTCCAATTCGGATCCCATTCCAACCTTTCGTATCGAATGTCTTCTTCCACCTGGCACTGAGAATACCAATATTTACAGCGGCTATCAAGGTTCCAATGCTCCACTCCTTGGATTGGCCGTGTCTCCGATTCAGAATGGTCACGGGATTGAATTGAACGCTGGAGAGAATCCAAAACGGTGGAGACTCATTATGCAGGGTTATGATCATATTGTCTGGAATTATGAGTTGACTAGGGACGAGAATAATAATTTGCAAGTCTTTTGATCTTTGGCGTGTTGTGTATATTGGTGCTCTTGGGGGCTGGTTCATCTCACATGGATGGTGTAAAGGATTTTTAAAAGGATACCAATTTACTTTGGGTGGTATTGGTTAAAAAGTTGTGGGGGCTCTCAAGGGCTATGTATTATATTTTGACTTGCGCGGATTAGGATGTATAATATTCAAGGGTGGAATTTGGTATGGGTTACTTGATAGGGTAAGCTTGAGATTTTGCGAGAACTAGGGACGTCTAATGGAGGAAGTTTGGGAGTGGCATTGAGAGATTATCGATATAGTTTAACAGCTGAGTTCTCGGGTTTGGGTTTGATTAGCTTTCGGAGGTCTTGATCAAGATTGGTAATTGATACATACCTACATAATGTTTATCTACTAGATCGATCCGGTCACAAATTAAATGGGAGATTATTCAGTTGAGATAGATATATGTGATTCTCTAGCGTAAACAATGTGCATGGATGACTAGGTAGGTAGATGGAGATGTTTCATGTTTCATGTAATATAGTACATAGCTCTATTTGGTAAATACCGTTTTAGCGGAGATTTAACTCGACTTGACGTATTTTCCTTTGAATAGGTAAGATCTTACCTAGTGGATCAAGTGAAAGAAAGTAAAAGTAAAAGCCCAAGCCCAAGCCTCTGAATATTCTAGGGGTATCGTCGCTTAGATGGGGTTTTCTTCTTCTTCTTATTCGGTTAGTATGTTATATCTTTTTGAGTAGGTAGGTAGGTAGATAGGTAGTTATATTTTATTATACTTTTTTTTTTTTTTTTTTTTTTTGGATATTTAGGTGTTTAATTACTTTATGTTGGATTTAGTGGGGTTTGTTATTGAGTATATGGTTTTTTTTATAGATGAAGTATCGAGGTTTTTTGATTGTTTGATTTCGTTTGGTTTGGTTTGTTTTGTTCTTGATGTTTAGTTTTGCTTATTTTGTTTTCTTGATGTTGTGAGGTATATAGATTCTATTTAATAATATAATATTATATGATATTATTGTTTTTATTTTAATTTACAATCTTATCGTTTGATTTCTTTCTTTCCTGGAAGGTCTGCAATTTGGCTCCGCTCTTGTTTGTTTGTTTGTATGTTTTACTCTTGATTTTGAAAGAGCTTGTGTTTTTCTTTGAGGAGAATTGTGTGTCTTATCGTTTTTTGTGTGTTGTTGCTTCTTCTTCTTCGCTTGTTCTCCAACAAGCAAGAAAGTTTTCTCCCTCTCTACTATTCAGTATTACTACCTTCACCCCGCTTGCTTTTACCACCCGTTGCAACCAGTGTCTGGTATATTCTCCCCCGATAAGAAAGAATCTACTACCCCTTTCATATTAGTAACTCGCTCGCTCTCCTTATGTTTGCTCAAAGTTGAGGGGTTGATGTGTCTTTTATGTCTTTGGATTCCATGGTTTTGGTTTTGCTATTTCTTTCCTTTCCTTTTTTTTTTTTTTTTTTTTTTTCCATTTCAGCTGTTATGTTTCTTTTTAGTAGTAAATAGATGAATGTTATTTTTATTCTAGCTCGTCTTTATTATTTTTCAATGCCATCAATTCTTCTATTTTCAACTTCCCCTAACCGATTCTTTTACTATCTTACCTTCCCATCTAGCATATGTCTGTCGTCAACAATAACAACTTCTTACTTCTTCACCTCTAGCGTCTTGGCTCTATCACCTACTTCCATCTTCCTTTTTACGATTCCTGAGATTACCCCGCTTCGAATATAGGTTCTTTTCTTTCTTGTCTCTGAAAGTTTCTTGCTTAATATTACTTTCTCCACACTTCTCGATTTCATTCCAGCCTCTCTATTTCGTGCTTCAATCTTCTCGTTTTTGTATAATCTTGACTCCGCTTCTCTTTTCTCTCCCTCAAGTTATTCCTCCGCATCTTCTCTCATGCAGAGTTGCTGTCATGATGGATTCCTCACCTTATCTCTTATTCCGCGTTTCTATCCATACCGAGGGTATCCTCATCCCTTTTCTTTCTGGGCCCCCTTCCTGATTAAAATCTTTTGGTTTCTCTGACCCCGTATCTTCAACCGCTAATTTCCATTCCTCTACGTATATTGCGTCGAGATCACATTCACTCCGATAGCGAAATCCATGTTCCTCCTCCCAGCAGATATTTGTGGATCGCTTATTCTCTTGGCAATATCCTCATATCCGCAAGCTGAGCTTGTGCTTTACGACATTGATTTCTGACCTTTGAGCACTTCCTAATCCGAAAATTGTAGGCTGCGATCTCGGAGCGAAGATGTTGTTTCTGTTTATTCACAAATACTTCTCTAAGAAGATGTCCTCTGGTTTTCCGTCAAAGGAGATCAAGAAGCATTCAACGTCATTATTTTCAAGTCAATATCCTTAAACCGCGAGGAGGAAGAAGATATCACCATAATTTTGATATTTGTCAGCTCGGTGTACTGCGAGACATGTCATGTTCAAATCATCTCCAACGCAGATTTAAACTTTGCGTCAATCAGACTTCTGATTTGAGAGAAATGAATGATAGCTCCAAGATTCCGTATGCAGTTACAGATTCATGGGTCTATAATATCACGTCATTGCCATGGACTAATTCAGGCGAATCAATTTTTTACCACCAGCATAACTTCATAGATGGGGTTCTTTTCAGTTGTTCGACTTAATATTTTTCTAGTTAAAACCCCACTTTGAGGCCTCTATTTACTTTTTTACATCATCCTGCCATTATCAAATGCCAAGCCAACAACAACTCCATTCTCAGGAGTTAAAGGAATACCACTCCTCTTCCACGAATAACAGCAAAAGTATCACCACCTCTGCACAAATCAACCCCTGTTCCAAGCTCCCGTCCCCCGCTTCCACTCCTATCATGCATAGTCCCCGGACACCACACCACCATGATCTCCCCAAAGCCCTGGAAGCCCTCCCAGGGAGCAAGAACAAACGTGTTGTGGTCGAGAACAGATGGGCCCCCTCCCATTTTCACGTATCGGTATTCTTAACATGCTCTTTTAATTGACGCGTCCAGGTGGATAAGATTTGAATACGCCAATGAAAGGTTTAAGGAGAAGTGCGACCGGGATTCTTAAGCACAGCTCCACGAAAGCATCACCACGTATTTGAAAAGATATTCGGGAATGCATGCTTCAAACTCCTGATTTACCAATCGCATGCTGGATGGATGGGAAGTCTCCACCGCGATGGTGGCCAACCAATTTTTCTTGCGAGCCGCTGAGGAAGAGTCATGTGAAGACTCGTAAAAGTACTCCACTCCCGACAGGGACGCATTTTGGTTTCTTGAAGCCCTTTTTCGATCGAGTGGCGTGTCTCGCCTTGTGTGGGCGGATTGAACGTAGTAATATCTCTCGTTATAGGACTCGAAGGACGGAGATTTTTCGATTATCTTCACAGGTCTTCGACAAAGCTGCCTTAGCCTGGCGCGAGGCTCTCTCAGGGAGTCAGATCCCGAGAAGAAGAGTCGGTTAGGTATAAGGTGCTTGGTTGTTGAAGAGATAACTTCAAGCCAGGTCGTACTCATAACCGCAGCAGATCTCCAGTTCTGGGGAACTTGAGAAGGAAGGGATTCAATACCCATGCTTATTGAGGAGCCAAGATGATAAGAAAGGGAATGGGATGTTATTTAGAATAGCTGCGAAGTTGGAGTGTTTGAACTTGCGGGAAAAAGAACTCGGCGGTTTACTATCATGCTTGGGACGGCCGATAGCAGTCCGACTGTATTGACTTGGCGGTGAGGGTCAAAAACCAAACATGTTCGATATTCTTTCTGCAAACAACAATCAGACGGAGAAAATCCAAGGAAAAAGAAAGAATGACGATGACAGCAGTAGGACTTGTAACGCAGACAAGTCCTACTGCTGTCATCGCCGTTCTTTCTTCTTCCTTGAGTTTTCTACATCTGACTGTGTTCTGTTGTGAGAATAAGAATTCCCGAAAGATTGGTTGATTTGACGCTACCGCGCCCACTTCCTGGAACACTCTTTGGAGTAATGAACGTGTATCCAGTTAGAAGTTCTGTTCGGGCCAGAGGTCAGGTTTGATTTGGTCGCACGTTCTGCTTTGACTTGGCATCAGCATTTCCGAGAAACTACCACCAGCTCCCCTATGTTTCTGCCGGACCAGCAGAGCAAGAAACATATGGCACCTCGCCGGTAGTGGATCTGAGATTTGATTGGTAATATCGTGTCAACTTCCGTCAATCCAAATTTGCCCAATTGATCAGAGAGAGACTTGCAGTTCGCCGTGGTATGATCTAGTTTTACGACATCTCGGTCCCGTTGCGATTCCCTTTTAGAGCGGGAAAGCTCTTATTAGTAACAGCAAAAGTTGCGACATGGTCCGTTGTGACTTTAGGCAAACTTGCTAACTGAACCAAATAGATTATCGTTGCAATGCAGTCGAAGACACCACCGACTGATCGCTCAACCGAGGAGAAAGGAGAGCAGACACATGGGTCCATCATGATCTTGGCCCACTTGCTGGAAAGAGCACACAGACCAGATTTTTGTTCGCAGCGTTCAGTAAACCTCTACTGAGGGCAGAGGCCGCAAAAGATAAAATCTGGTTTCTCTCCAAACACTCTGTGACAATCTGCTTTTGAGAGCGAGAAGGATGGGTTTCTCAAAACTCGATCAGATCATCTTGGTTTTCACTGCTGTGCAGGATACTGATGAGTATCAGCGAGAGACGGACGAGCCACTGAGAAAGATTACGCGCGACGTAGTCTGTTCAAGACTGAGATTAAACGATTGACAGAACTTGAAGTATCTGTTGGGTGCGGTGCGCTCTCGACGTCCCTTGAAAACCCACGGGAAGGAATGGTTGATTAAGCCTAAGGTGCTTGGTTATTGAGGCCATCATTGGTGGTCTGGCCAGCAGATGCTTGTTGCTGGTGTTGGTATCCAGCGCTGTAGGCGCTTCTTTGGACTAGAATGAGCTGATACGGCGAGTTATCTTGATTGGCGTCGACTGCCTCTTTGATGCTTTGCTGGCTTCTTGGGTGGACTTTTGAGACAATCATGAAAATTGACTGATTTTTACATTAGTACAATATCGAGACTTCTCAAGAACACAGAAAATTCATACCTTTCAGGTCTCCTCTCAAAATCTGACATGCACGATACCAAATCAGAGACAGTGCTGTTGGACAGCATTCCCAATACACCTATCAACCAACTTCAGAAACAATTCTTCTCCCTCCAAGTCCCTTGCGAACGACTGTTCCGAAGATGTTAGCAACCACTTCAAAGATATCGGGAATAGCAGTAACAATAACGTACCAACCCAATCCCCTTCACACAGCAGAGATAGCGCCCGCTTATCAACCTCAAGATATGATATCACTCACAAAATCACGTCGAAAGGTGCACGCCCGAGGGCGGCTCGAGGAAACAATGTGTATTACTATAGAAAGCTACCTAAAGAGACAAGATCCTCCGCATATTATGCATTCAGCCTTGAGCTTTGGCATTCTTGAAGTTTGACTTTTCCACGCTTTCTTTGTGCGATGCTTTGGTAAGGATCCGCGGATTTAGGTTTGTCCTCATCTCTCTATTTCTCAACAAATGACACAAAAAGTTAGAAGCCATCTATCGTTCAAACCAATTCACAAACTGTCTTATACACAGGAAAACAAGCATATTCCAACGAGGAAGAGCGAGAAGAATCTGGGTACGATTTTAACGACCCAGATCAACAGCCACATGATAAGTATTGACACGATCAATATTCATTATGTAGCTATCGATCTGGCTCATTAAAGTCATATGCAGCTCCTTCTCGTTCTTCCTCATCCGAATTTGCTCGTTTCTCTCTGTTTATAAGCAAGATTTCTACTTCTGGTAATGTTAGAACTTTGTCCGGTTTTTAACGATCAAATGCGAGTTTTGAGATGAGGTACGCGGAGAATTGGACATACCGCTGAGTTTTCTAACGAAATTTTCTGGGCGTAGTTGGTGTGGCATTGACCGTGCTAATTGCTTTTTTGGAGTCCTCAATCGAAGGCGAGGCTCAGTGCAAAATGTTCGGACCTATCTAAATCAATAAACTGCGACACGAGAAGGGATTGTGATACTTACTTGTCCTCGGCAAAACTTCGTTGCCTTCACCCTTTGCCATCTGCGCCTGGGCGGGAGTTGTCTGGCTAAGTTTGCGCCGCTTTGGAGATGTAAAGGGTAAAGGCCTATCTGATTGTTGGAAATTAAAGTGGCGGCTAGTTCGTTCCATTCCGGCGAGACTCGACCGACGGTCTTGTCACGAATCATCTTGACGTTGCAGCTCATCTTTAGAGCAGACACCACAGAAACCATGCTTTGTTGATATCTTTACTGTCTTTATGCTTGTGGCTACGGCAGGGAAAAGATGGTCCAGAGTTGTTCTGGGATCGTCCCCAGAACAAATGACCCCAGCACAAATATAGTTTAACGTCATTTCGGACCGCAGTCATACCAAGTAATCGCAGATCTCCGAGTAGCGTGGTGATGACCATTGCAATAAGTACGATCGAAGGGGATCCGAGATGGACTTGATAGTCGACTCCAGGAGGGAACACACATGTAGAGGAGTGCATAGCACCTCTGCGGGAGACACACACTTATGGTGGAGTGCATATCTCCCCGTCCCTCCTGAAGTTGACTATTGGCATGAAGCCACAAGAGGGAAGCAAAAGCAGGAGCAGGAGCAGGAACAACTTAGGCTTGCTGCTGTTGGAAGACAAGGGAGGCAATCCCCTGCCCTTGTCTTGTAACAAGTTGCCCAGCTCACTCTGCTGTGCCTGGGACCACGACACAGCAGCCCGTTTGAAAAGGTATTCGGAAACGGTCGTCCTTGACTGGGGACTGATAGCATCGCAGGTTGCTAGGCTGGAGAGGCACGGACAGAACAACCATGCATCTGGTTAATAGCTATTTCAATAGCGTGGCCCAGTTACTGGAAAGAGGAGAGTTTTCTCCACTTAGTTGGAGCAGTTGGAGCGGCAAGCAGCATATCCCTGCATTTGGTTGATGCTGCTTGCCGACTCCGCAGAGTAAATGCTTCATCAGATCACCAAAAGAATGACCATTGAGTGTGGTGATACCCACCCAGCAAGGTTAGACATGGACCAGTTGCTGGAAAGAAAGAGGAAACAACCTTGTTTTTGGGTGTTGCTGTACTAATGCGCAGAGGTCTGTTGCCGCAGTATACGCCCTGCATCTCAGTCAGAGCACGCTGTTGGTCTCCTTCCTCGGCGAAGAGGAAGGAGCAGCGGCCATGACATTCCAGAGATGGGGTCAAGGACCAACAGTAACGAATCTGTGATTTGCCAGTTGATCCTGAGAACATCATAAATGCTCATGTATGCCATGATGCTTTTGCAAGGTTGGAAGCAGGTATAGACACGAAAGATGTAACATGAATCTCTGCAAATTCCTTTAGACGGGAAGGACGCGTAAGATGGTGGGTACCGCTGGCATGCAGGTGTTGGAAGTGTGGAGACAACGTAGTGAATGTTTTGCTGTCGGCACTTGTTCTTCTTCCCTTCCTGGAAAGTCATTGAGATGACCACCACCACTTGTAAAATCTCAGCCTTGTCCATCAAAGAGCAAGTAGGCCCGAAAGACCTGACTTTGCTATGACGAGCAAGAGGATGAAGATCGAAGACTTCAAAGGTAGGAGAAGTTTCGATAACAAACAGCGAAGAATGCATCATGGACACCGTGCACTGTGATTGCAGGTGCTGTCTAGGTCCATGATAGAATATTGTCTTCGAAGTTCGGGGTCCTGAGGACCTGCAAGGTAGGTCTTGACAAGAGCAGACGGACCATAAGCCGAAGCCTTATCGATGTGGTCCGCGTGTCAGGTGAAAAATTGGTGAAAAACTGTAAGTGACATTAGCAATTGTGACAAGGCACAACATGACGGAAGAACTTACCAAGTTTCAGTATTCTGCAGACTTCACAGACCAGCAGCTCGCAACCACAACAAAAATCTCATTCTGACCATACGATCTATTGTAAGTCATGTCAGGAGCTAGCAAAATGATGGAACATGAATAGGAATAAGTACCACATTGTGATGTCTTGCGAGCAGCAAGAACATCGAAGTGATTGAATGAATTGGAGATGTTTCTGCGAGTTGTATTAGCAGCTGCCATAAGAAATAACTTGAAGGGACATTTACCACGATCTGAGGTCTTACAAGCATGACCGGCCAGCGGCTATCGTCATGAGCAACAGATTATCGTTCTATGAGGAGGAAAGTGACCTAGGATATACTTGCCGGCATTAGTGCCTGTTATTTAGCTGAAGATTGAAGGAAGAACTTACCAAGCTTTGTGTTTGCCAGATCGCCAGCAGTAGCAGCGGAAGGTCGATTGGCATGAAAGACTGGGGATTTTCAAGGATTTTTTTGCTTCTTGGTGACTCTCTCGATGTCCTGGGTGTTCTGATTGATAATCTTCTCAAGGTTAGTAAGTGTTATATAAGTTGAGTAAGGTTTAGTGTGTCTTGAGCAGAAAGGGAGAAGGTAAAGAATCAGCACAGCAGCAAATCTGATAACAGATGTATTTCAGTTGACAGCAAAAGACTGGCACTGACAACGGCAACAAACAGTTGCTCATCTGGTAATTAGAAATAGGGAAGAAGGATCTTGTGAGGGAAAGGGTTGAGGTGAATGTACAAAAAAGCAGCTCAATCAGCTTTCTGTTGAGGAACTTAGACAAAAGACTTACAACTCAACCACAACAAGGAGAACAGAATCTCTTTGCAGTTGGGAAGTAGGTCAAAGGAGAAGGGAATGATGGAAGATTAAAAGAAATACTTACAGCTAACGGTCTTGTTCTTGGGTTTGGCTACTTTGCAATCTTGTTGTCGCAGATCTGTATGGTCTTTGCAACTTCTTAGATAGCAAGCATTTCTTGGAACAAAAGGTAAGACTTCAAAGAATACAGGTATTAACTTATAAGTGTTACTGGCAAGATAGACAGAGTTGATGATTTGTTTAAAGAAGTTTGTCAAAAAAGTTGTTCGATTTCTACTGACAATTACAAGTTCGGAGTAGAGATATTACAGCAGGCTAAGCAACAAGATCACGTCTTTGTTATTGTTCTTGAAACACTTGGAAAACTCTGCTCGGGTAATACCCCAATCAACATCTCGAGAAGGTCAAATTTAATAATAATATTGAATATTGATTGTGCAATATATTGCTCGGATCCCTGTCTGTCTATGCCTGAGGCGGAGAGTCTAGACTCGCTTTTGGTCGGGTAATTCTGCTAGAAGAGCAGTCAAGTTTCATAAGGCTGAGTAGACCATGAGCAGATCATGAGGAACTAGAAAAGGAAATATCTTGACCCCCAGAAGTCCCATCCATCCAGGAAATATTGGAAAAGAAAGGTCAAAAACTACTTATTCTTTGTATATAAAAAGATACTTAAGATAAGTTGGAAATTGTTTTGTGAAAATATTGATGGCTGCTTGAGGACTGAGGGAGGGAAAATATTCCGATGCCGGGTACTTCCATTGTTTACTACCATCCGAACTCGACCCAGGCTAAGATGAAAATATGGGTAACAAGTCGCATTGACCCTGGGTACTTTCAACATTGAACTTCAATCCTGTACGGATATCTCCTCAACTAATCGCTTTCGTCCTAATCTCATTTGGTCAATCGTTCTATATCTTCCCATACCGAGCCAGTCAATCATCTACCCACGCAAGATAGCCTTTCCTCTCATACCGAATTTCATCTCAGCTCCCCAGCTTTAGACTCTCTGCCGAAACGTCAATCACTTACCATATACCTGCGACAATCTCAAAGTCTATCCTGCTAAGGCGACCGCGCCAATGGCGCCTCAGAGACCAATTGAACGGAAATCTTCACTTGCAAAACGCTCTCAAATAAGGCACTCTGGCTACGGAAGAGGTGCTTTTGGAGCCAGCCCTTTGAACCCAAGATCGAGGGCTTCAAACAAAGAGACAAATGAAGATAGAATCGAAAATATTTCTGAGGCGAATTCGTCAACAACTACGATTGCTTCAACAATCAAAGCGCTTTCTTTGAAGTCAACGCGCTCGAAAGCATCCACAGTCGTTTCATTTGGATCTTCCTCAGTCTCTGGTACCGCAATCGAAGGGTCTCCTGGGCCAACCCGAGAGGAAAAGGCAGCACGAAAAAAAGCAGTGAAAGCAGCGCGGAAAGAAAACAAAAATGCCGATCCAAATTTCGCGTACCTTCCCAAAGGTTTAAACAACAAGATCCGAAATAAGGATCCCTTGCAGGCCAAGATCAGAAGACTGTTCAAACCTAAGAAGAAAAATCTCCACAAACCAATCGATCGAAGTCAACCAGTTGCAACTCCGAAACTCCGTTATAGAACCGATCAGCCCACACCAGCACCAGAGAGGTATGTTCCACCAATTGCGCCGGCAAGGAAGCTGGATGCAAAAATTGAGCTGGACAAGACGGGGGCATGCTTGGGCGGCGAGTTTCAGGTCCTCACAATAACACAAGAGGAACGTGACAAGCACGTCGAACAGGCGCAATTCCAGCATGAGCTTAGAAAGGCGACCGAACAGAGACTACGGCTAGAAGGCAGGGAACAGGTGAATGATCCAAAGATTGGCCGAGCGCCCCCAATAGCCCGTCGAGCGCTCATTGAGCCTGCGCTTTCAAAGCAAACCAGGAGGAACAGATCTGAATTGATGCCCATTGGCGTTAATGAACCTCCCACTCTTACTGAGAATGTTCCTCCAGAAATTCTACCAGCGAAACAGACGCAGGCGTACATACAGAACGATCATTTGGGGGAATTTACGCAGAATCCCCATCAACTGAATGATAGCGCCCAAACTTCATTGGAGAATTTGACGGGGCAAACTACACCGTGCTCATCAACAGAGGTCTTGCCGTACAAAACTCGTCACCGAAGCAATCTCAGCTCCTCTAAAAGGCCACATCGAAAGCAATCGGTAACATTTAATGAGTCCGTTACACAATTTACCATTCCAGAAACAGATTATGATACGTCAGACATTACAGAGATAGCCAGCGACGAGACTATTCGCAATGTCGCCTTGACTGGAACTGTTGCTGATCATAATCAACCATCAGAGGCACAGGTTGATCTAACAAAATCATGGAGCTCGGCTGGAAATAACTCGGGGAAAAAATCCAAAAGATCGGGTATTCATACTGAAGATGAGCTCCAAGCGATGCTTATTGCCGGTTTGAGAGAGGAAGGAAATCCGGACCTCAGAGAGAAAGGTGTTGCACCGCAAGGCAATTGTACCATCTCACAGAGAGGTGGTACCCGGGCAATTGAAAGCTCTAGAAACATTGTTCAAGTCCATTCCGATATTTCAGAAACATTGGACGATACATCCAAAGCTCTTAGAGAAGATAGCGTAAAGAAGGAAATCTTGGGTGTTCGAAATTCGCGTGTGAAGAATTTCCTTAAACACGCTAGCTCAACTCCCGAATTTCGTCCTGCCTCTTATGATACAATCACAAATTTCCTACTTGCTTCGAATGCGCCGGCGCCGCCAATTCCCACGAAGTCACCATTGAGAAAGTTATCTCAGCCAAATTTGCTTCCTGCCATTAATACGTTAAATGCGTCGAATTCACACGATTTCATTGTATATAATCAATCACCATTTGCCAAATATCGCATTGAGTTAAAGCAACTGACCGAGGCGCATGAGGAGAAGATGGAGTTCTTGAAGAAGAAGAAACAAGAACATCGCAAGAAATATGGTGATCTCAAAGTAAGTTTGACGTTGACATTTGCAGATGAAACTAAAATATAGCCGCCGCTGCTGACTAACAATGTCTCACTTGCAGAATCAGGATGATCCTGGCGAATCCACAGCGAAGCCACAGTCCAAATTAAGATCCAGAATCTCTAACCTGTTCAAATCGTTAGAAAAGTTAGCAGGAGCAACTGAGGAGGAAGGAATTCTTGATAACGTTGTTACATCTTTTGTAAGTTTTCGTTCGATTCTTTGGGAGTTCAAGCCCTTGTTGATTTATCCTTCAAACCAATTCTTCTGGCTCCCTGCACTATCCATTGTCTGGGAATCATCTTGCATGCTCAAAGGGGCCCAGTACAACAGGTTAGCAGCTCAACAATTACTGACTTTATTTGTTCATAGGAGGATCCAGGTGAAGATTGGGTTTATGATCCCTTGGGTTTAATTGCCGGTCAATACATTGCTCCCCTCGATTATCATCGTTGCGGGTACAATACACCAGGTTTCAATCATACGTTAAGGGAGGAACAAGAAGATCATACTGAGACGGGTGCATTGTCAATTACTCCTGATCAGGTTACGCCACAGGAGGAGCACAACCCCGATCTTGTAACAAGCACAAGCGGCGGCTATACTTCGGATTCAAGGTCTGAGAGTGAGGATACACCAAAGGCCGACGGTGAAAAGTCAACCTCAAAACCATACTGCGAGGCTCTTACCCCTTTGCAAAACATTGATTACGAGTACAGTTATACTGAACCAACGCCTGAATTCCTTGCTACCGAGTCTGACGAGGCTGCGGAAAAGCGTAGGCAGAGGGAAATTGAAGCATCGGTGCGAGCCAACAAAGCGGTCTTGCTAGCACATGAAGCTGCACTACGAGATTTTGATAACTCTCCACTTGCAGCTGGATTCCATAGTACAAGAAACTCCAGCAGCGGAAGTAGTACAACGGACGACGCGACACACGGTGCAAATACTTCTTCTCACGTGACTACGAACGCACCGCCGGTTACTCAAGAAGAACGTCGCTCAAATTTACCAAAATTTCAAAGAAAAGAATTCACAGCTTCGGAAGGTGCGAAGAAACCTGAATTCCAAGAGCCAACTTATTTGCTTTCTCGCGGTTACTCAAGCGAATCCTCAACGCAGGAACCGGAGGATTTACTTCCGACAGCGAGAACTTTACAACAACCCCCACAAACAACCACCGGCCCCTCTTTACGAAATAATCATTTCGGCGGTGCTTCTGAACTGCGCGAATCTCGCGGTTCTTTTGGGTTCAAGAGTCAAAATTCGTCCACACGCAGTCCTCACATTTCAAAAACTACAGAAACACTGAAATCTAGTGAAACTACCCGACGCTCAAGCAAACAATTCACTACCCCTCAACAAGCTGAGCCTGTACTAGATCGTCATTCACGACGTGTCTCATCGACTTCTTCTATTAGTAGGCAATATTTTAGGGAAGAATCCGACAAGTGGATCAATTCTGATACGCTCGCTGAAAACGCTGCCGAAGATAGTGATCTGGAGGATACTTATCGTGCTTACTTCCAAAGCTCAAGGCCTGAGATATTTTCTCAAGATCTCACATTTACAGACGACGCTCAAGCTGCTGCTAACCT